CAAGACAAAATAAAAAAAGTCTGATACCAGACAATCGCAAACAGCATACATGCTTCCTATTACCAAGAAAGCTCTGAGTGACAAGAATACAAATTTGACACTACTTAGTATGAAAAGTGGAATTTACCATTGGTGATAAAAGCCAGTTCTGTTGATTTATTTCTTTATTTTATTTCATAAAATATTGCATGAACATTTCAAGGTGCTGAACATTGCACTCTCTAGTATAAGAAATGCGCAATTTCTAATGGGTATGACGTGACGATAATTTCTGTGAAGTCAAGTGAAACAAGTGCTTCTGCAAAAGCTGACCATTTTCGCCGCTTACAGGCTTACAGTTTTTACGAACATTTTCCCCATCCTATCATTTCAATTTACCTAAGTTATATAAATGGTTCTAGTTCTCATCAACATTGTATATAATGAGAGAACATGCACTTCTATATTTCAACTCTTTAAGTTTAAAACATTACAAAAATCAAGTATATAACAGTTTATAACCTGTTTTCTCTCTTTTAAGAGTCTTTTTAACAGAATAAAAAAATGAGACACAAAAGTACATTTTAACTTAAATTATAAGTAACGTTAATATATATATATATAATTTTATTCAAAATCTCTTCTATGGCTTTGTCCCCAACATCTAAGTTTACAAACCTCGTGACATTCAACCAGGGCTTTAGCCAGCGCCCGTTTTACCGTCAATTGACGGTACTAGTATTTTATCCCGTCGGACGGTAAAAATTTAAGTCCTTACCGTCAACATTGACGGTCAAAAATCGTGGGTGAAGACATTAAACTTAGCAAAAAATGTAGCGAATTTGAATGAGCCACGGTGCGGGGTCTTTCCAAAGCGCGTCGCGTCTTTTCAAAACGCCGCGGGCCCACACATTTCTTATTTAAATACGGCGGGAAACCTGACATCAAGGAACGTGCCGATGTCTGTTAACTCGGTTCTTTTCTTCAATGTTGCTGTCTGTTTAAACAACATGTGCTAACGGCCACATAAGAACAATGGCTCGACTCAGACTCACGCTGGTAACTGTACATGACAATAAGATAAATAAACAACATGTGGCAACGAACAAAGAAATATCAAACGTTTTGAAAATATACTGTACTTGAATTTTCATACCATCGCAAGAAAACGGAGATTGATCTACGCAAAGTGGCTTTATTATTTATATAAACTTCGTTAAACCACCTTCGAAGACTTGAGCGGCAGCATAAAGATAAATTTTCTGGAGCCGATCGCTGAAGCAAGTTTTTGCCGGCGTACGTAACTCCCTCCGCGGCAAAATCCCATATGCCGTAGCGAAATCGCGTCTCAGCACTTCCCCAAATCAACTCCATGGCCGCTAAAGTCTGCAAATGAGGTTAAACTTCCTCATTTCGGTTGAGAAGCGAAGCTAACTAGTATAAAATCATGTGCATGGCGGCCATTTTTGTTTGCTACCCGAAGTCTTCCGAATGATCTAAATAAGGAAATCGTCGGAAATCTGAGCCACATCCCTCGCTGTCGGCATGCGCTCGGGGCTGGCTCGGTGGAAATCGGAGGCTGTGGCGTCAGGACTAGGTTTATTTGCATGGCTCGGGAAGCCGCCGCGGCTTGAATCCCAGCGGGATTTGGGCGCCGGGCGGGTCAAACAAAGGGAATATGAAGTTGTGAGGACCATAGTTTTTTTTTCATTCTTCAAATTGCAGATTGTGTAATTTTTATCCTGAAATCTTGAAAATCTATCTGCAAATTGCAGACTGAAGACGGGTATTTAGAACACTGAATACATGAAGTGTGCGGGGGGGCATGATGTCGATCACCGGATCATGATTTTTTTTCGCGTTGACCCTGATTCAACCCTAAAATAATACTCGAAGAGAACTTCAAAAGTCATCTTTTACTAATCATATATAATTGTTTACATTATATCATTTGATCAACCTGATCCATTAAAAATTGTCAATGGAAAATACCTTGCCAAACAATGCAATACCTATTTAAGTTAATTAAACACTCACTCATTAATTAATTAATTTCCTAAAATACAAAAGACATGTTCGTGAAAGTTAGGCACCCAGGTAATATCAATAGTTCCACGGACAGCTATGTAGGCCGGAGCTTCTATTGCGTGCGATCTACGTTTGGTCAGAAAATACACCCCCCCCAACCACACACACACACAAAAACACCGATCCGGGAACGCCTGAAAAGGAGGCTTTTAATAAGCTTTGCCTGCAGCGCCTTGATTGGTCGGACGTGTGACCCTCTGGACTGCCGGCTAATGGAAATCTGAACATCTAGACTAATCCACACTGCTAATGCTCATTGACATAATTTATGCAGTTTATTAAAATTCTTGATTACTGTGCTTATAGACATGTCTTTATCAACATTTTTGGCAAATAATAAAATCAAGTTATTGTTCAAGACAAATTAAGTTTGTTTTGTCAGCAGCTTTGTTATGCAACATTAATAGAACTATGATTTTGAAATTAGCAACCATAATGGAAAGTATACAAACGTCCAAGCCATAAATGGTAAAAAGTGCACTCGCAACAACGACATCTAGCGACATGCGGCAACTCAGCATGTCTGCATGGCCGTCGCAACAACGACATCTAGCGACATGCGGTGACTTAGCATGTCTGCATGGCCGTTGAAGGGTGGAACCGTTGATCCATCCATCCGTTGATCCAATCTCAATCTCGTCTGAGTTACCATTTTCGCGCATGCGAAAATGGTAAAAAAGAAGAAAAAAAGCGACTTGTATCCATGCTGCCTTTTGTACATGAAATAAAATGTACAACTATAAGTATAACAGTAACTGTTGTACTTTGTGTCCTGCAGAGTGCCTGTCCACAGCTACCAAAGGGAGAGGAAGTCAAGATCATACAGGTCATCTTTAAGGAGGTCTATGTCCAGGTCAGGCTTTACTGTCTTGATCAGCAGTAGTTGCCGGTAGCAGTCGTGTGTTGCAGAACACTGGCTGTCTTAGTTATTACTGTAGGGTTACCTTTGCAAAGGTACTGTTTTGCTTTAGTATACAGCATATTTTTGACATTCAGATATCAGAAGAAATAAAAAAAAAATGTTGTAATCTGTAATATTGTATTACAATCATGTGGAGATCATTGTGGATTTCAGTATATTTTCTTATAAGAAGGCAATATTTTTTGTATTTTCACATTTAATATGAGAATTGTTGAACTGTGATCTCCTTTCCAGACCCTGGTGCAGACAGACAGGAGAGCGATCTACAACATCCTGGCTAACTTCCTGGACAGCAGACTGGAAGGTACTGTTGTTGTGCAATGCCCATTACAACACATCACACATGTCAAAACAAAGTCTGTACAATTATCAATACATTACATACAAAGTAGTAAATACAGTCTTAAGAGCAATACAAAAAACAACATATCAAGGAATATGCTTCGCGTACATTGTCCCCCCTTCTAATGCCTGTAACTGTTTCTGTCGCCAGCCCTGCAGGCTCTGGGTACTGATGTTGTCTGGGGGTTTATCCAGGCTATGGATGGGGAGAAGGACCCCAGGAACCTCATCATAGCCTTCAGCATTGCCAGGATCATTGCACAGTCTTTTCCTATTGGTCAGTCACCAGCCTGCATAACACAAGCTGTCACCCTCACCTCGGGCTGATTGGGCCTCTGCCCTCTAGCAGCCTGACCAATGGAAGGGCTGCTAAAGTGTGATGTAGTTTGGCTAGTTGTCACGTTTGTATGAAGCTTGTTACTAGTATTGTACTTGAGACATTTGTTTCAAAAATATAAGATGGGGACATTACATATTATGTTCCAGAGCTACATGTGGCTTGTATGAGTATGATAGCTATGTCTGTTATACACTGTAGCACAGGAGTTTATGGAAGGGTCAGTTATGAACAGTTATGAAGGTATTTTTTTAAATTGAAATTAGATGGAAACAAAAGATTATTGTAGTGCCATGGGAGAGCTTGAATGAAGTGGTCCCTCAATGAGATATGATTTTTTTTCAGGCACATTCACAGAAGAGTTTTTCGAAGTCGTAGCGTGCTACTTCCCCATTGACTTCACTCCGGTAGGTGTCATAGCGGTAGCCTGGATACTGTTCTGTAAAGCGTATGGTCACTTCTATGGTCCCTGCTTATTGTGTGTGAGTATGGGAGTTAGCCTAACTAAACAAGATGGTTCACAGACTACCTTAATGGCAGATCCCTTGGAATTACCACTTGGCAGACTTTTAAGGCCTAAATTATGCTGGTACAATGTATTTTCATACGTTCCACTAAAATCAACCAGGTTGCCTATTTATAATATAGAGTACATAATGGAACTATCCTTAAAATAAAGATAAAATATCCGATTAAAAATTGGAATAGATATCTAACTGTCAACAAGATGAACATATAGGAATTTTATGTTATTACAGTGTGTATTAACAGTTTGTCGACCAGACTTATCAAACACCCATGTCTCCCACTTGTACATCTTTATTTTACCTGTGGGACACTAGTTTTGGAGGTAAACCTGGAGATAAGTTACAGTACAGTAGGAGTTAGATTAGAAGTGAGACTGAATCACCTGTACCCTGCAGCCTGCTGATGACCCACACGGGGTGACCAGGGAGGACCTGGTGTTAGGACTCCGACAGGTGCTGGCTGCCACACACCAGTTCGCACAGGTAAAACTTAGTGGGAGAAGTATAGTTCAACTGTACATGTAGGCAAAATAATCCATAACAAAGATATGCCCCCCCCAAAAAAAACAGTTACTCAAGAAACCGGATATGATTTTAGAAAATCTTTTTTTTGCATACCTTATTACCAGGTCCAACATATCAATAGCTTTGTTTCTATGAATAACAGAAGTGTTATGCTCCATGTAGTATTTTGCTTCAAATTTCAAGTAAAAAGGAGTGCAGATGAGATTCATTTTGAAATAGTCAATGGCATGTGTGCAGTCTTTTCTCCCAAAAATTCACGAATTCAGTAATTACTACCTTTACTACCACAGTAGGAAATAGTATAGTATCAGTGTTATCTGCATATTTCACTTGAATGGAGATTTATGTACACGTATGTTAAGGGTTTATGATTTATAGGTCATCAGAAGGAATCTCCAGAGTAACACATCAATTTTATGTTCCCAGTTCTGTCTCCCCATGTTGCTGGAGAAGTTGTCGTCTGATGTCACCAGTGCCAAACTGGACTCCCTCCATACACTGGTAAATCCACCATCTTAGCTCTTTTGTCAACAAACTGATACAATCTATATTTTTCTACTTAACACTTAGTAACACAGACAAATTCATATCTGCTGAGCTAAGAACATAAAACATTTCTGCTCTTACATTTCCACCATCACAAGGAAAAGCCACTTCAATTACTATATAGTACTTGTGCTAGCTTTACATGCACATACATCACAGATAAATGTATCCATAAACTTCTTTTCTTGTGACCTACCCGGTATACTTAAGGGTATACAGTGTACATGTATATGTACAGTAAAGATCCTGTTCATCCTGTTCCTTGTCCCCACCACAGGCAGCCTGTGCAGAGGTTTATGGTGCTGATGGCCTGAAGTCTTTCCTGGATCTTCTGTTGTCTGCCATCAGTAAGGAGGTTTACAACTCCATTCACCAGGACATAGAGAACGCAGCACTTACCGGGCTTACTGCTGTGGTGGCAACACTGTCACACGCTGTCACTGAGGTAGACATCTCCTCTTCTTATCCCAGCTTTGTCTCTCAGTTTGACCACACATGTATGCTACAGGAATTGCATAAGCATGGTAAATTTTGACATCCAGTGAGTGATTGAGTGAGCTTGATTTATTTTGTATTTAATATGTAATGTTCTACTTGAATGTGTAACTTTCATTTAGACATCCAATCCTGTACATTTCCTGTCTGCACATTTCAGATGTCATCTTTGAAGAACACATTGCAAACGACATTGTGTTTGTAGGCTGGTTCAGTGCAGATTGTTTTCTTACACTACCACTATTTGTTGTTGAATTGCAGACTGGTTCTGTGTTCTCCCTGCATCATTTCCTAGACAACCTGTTAAAGGCGTGCAAACACCACCTGTGTGAACCTGAGCTGAAGCTGATGTGGCCGAGTGCCAAGCTGCTGCAGGCTGCAGCGCGAGCGTCCGACCCTGCCTGTGTCCATGTCCTGAACACCGCCGTGCCCCTCCTGGTGCAGCAGTTTCAGGTCCATCCCCTCCCCCAGCACCGTCAGACCATCCTGGAGGTCACCACAGCATTCATCCATGTAGCTCTCACCCTCACCTCGGGCACTGATGCACCCAATCCCATCACTCCCCACAGTGATGACCTCCTTACCACGTTCTACTCTGTTCTAGAGGATGCTGAGGCAGGACTGAGAAGCAGTGGGGTTGGTGGGATGGCTGCCATGATGCGTGTGGGTGATGTGGTCCAGGGGAAACATTTGGATTTGTGTGCAAAGCACCTCGGCAGGCTAGTTCTCCATGATACAGATTCTACCGTACAAAGTAGGAGCACGGAGGCGCTAGCTGCCATGGCCACAGCTCATCCTGACGTGGTGAAGGAGGAAGTTCTGTCCAAACTTCTCCAAGTGCTCCAGAACAACAGCCCTGATGCCATGGACACAGACCAAAGTGTCTGTGCCAAACATGTGACAAACCAGTATGTGTTGAACACTCTGGCAGCCATCTCCACCCACCCCTCCATTGTAAGATGTACCATTCCCAAGTTGTTGAGTCACCACCAAGCTTTGACAGAAAGTTGTACAGACCAAGCCGCACAGGAGGCCATTGCTACCTTACACTGTGTCCATAAAATAGTAGGAAAAAACTGTGATTGATGACTCTAATGTACAGTACTTTGTTGACACGATAGTACTCAATCTTATGTCCATGGCTATAGCTGCTGCTGTAGATACCTCAGATAAACACTTACTCCATGATACATCACTTCTAGAAGTTGTAGCTAAGGTGTTAAGGGTAGTTACTCAACGCCTACCCAATAGTGCAGAGAGCAGTCTTGTTAACAAAACTGTAGAAGCCTTTCTTCATGGCAAAGTGGCATCACTCGGTCTTAACATATCTGCAAACTTCACACCCCTAGATGTTTCATCACCATGGCAACAGACCCAAACAGTCCTGCTTCTCAGTGCCGTAGTGAGTAGTGTGGGACAAAACGTTGGCATTCCCTCTAGAAGTGAACTCACCAAGAAGTTACTGGCATTGTCTTGTGCGTCCAACCATGAGCCATCCTCCCTTGCAGCTGCAAGTGTCTGTCGTGGTGTGGTCAACAAGTGGGAGAAGGGGGAGGAGCTTGAGGCATTCTACAAGAAACAAGAGGTCAGCTGGAAGGAATCCTGAGAAACACTGAGGAGGAGGAAGGCAGAGGCAGGGCTGTCGCTGTACTGGTCTGGTTGACGAAGGCCTTGGTGATCAGGGGTCATCCGTCAGGTTCCCAGTTCACCAAGATGCTTATGGCACTGTTTGAGGATAAGGCTGTAGGGAGGAGAGCTGCTGAAGGGTTCCACGTCATCCTCAGTGACTCTACAGACGTCCTGTGTAAAGAATCACATGCCAACATCCGCCTGATGTACAAGCAGCGCTTCTTCACGGAGAACCTCCCCGCTCTGGTCGACGGCTTCAACCAAGCAGATGACGGGAGGAAGCAGTCGTTCCTGTGCGCCGTGTCCCACCTCCTCACCTTCGTACCACGTCAGGTTCTCCTGAGCGCCTCCCCCCACTGGTGCCCCTGTTGGTACAGTCCCTGCTCGGAGAGGACCCCCAGCCTCCAAGTGTCCACCCTGGAGATGTTCTCCAGTCTTGTGCAGGAGGCTCCCCACGTGATTTCACAGAACATAGATGCACTGATCCCTCAGTTACTCAACCTCTCTAAAGCTGGTCCATCCATGAAGGTTAGAATGGCAGCCCTGAAAAGCCTGGGCAGTATGACCGGCCTTCCCTATGCAGTAGTGTATCCGTACAGACACAGAGTGGTACGGGACCTGGCTGTGGCAGTGGGGGACAGAAAGAGACTGGTTAGGAAGGAGGCGGTAGCTGCGAGAGGAGAATGGTTTCTCCTAGGAAGTCCTGGAGGCAAATAACAGCATACAGGACATGACATTTTATACAATGTATACTATCTCCTAAATTTAGCACATATACCTAAATGAGTACATTTTTGTACTTAGCTCCAGTTAGGGGTGTACTCTTGTATGTGATGTAAAGTCAAGGGCCCTATGTTCGAGGAGAGCCACACCTCAAGCACATTAAGATCCCACTGCATATCAAAAGGGTCCATCCTGGTGTGAGTGAATCAAACCTTACAGTCTGGTCTAACTCAGTGTGAACTTACTGTACAAAACTGGTGTGTTAGTAAGGCAGTGTAATAACTGATTTCCTCGAAGTCTGTCATGTTTGCCTCTACACTTTATTCGTCTACAATGTCACCTTGGCTTTGTTAAGTGATGCCAGGAGCTGTTGATTTTAATTTTCAAGTCCAATGTCTTGCATAGTAAGAATTGTGTACTTGAGCATCATACATGTACATACTGGTACATCTGTAGTTGTCAGACTATAATTGATACCAAACATGACCTATTGCATGTACATGTTCATAGGTGATAATGATTATGTAAGATTAAATGCACGGTCACAGGCAGTGTCTTCAAGATCATCTGCCTTGAATGCTAGCACAATACATGTGTATTAGGTAGATCTGTCTTCCTATAATAATTTTCATAAAACCCCTTTTTGCCCTAGTTTCAGCATGATTGGGTATTTTGTACTAATGATTAGGTATTCATAGAGTACATTTATGATAAATGGCATCTGCTAATCAATGAAGCTATCCAAAATATTGCATAACATATGGGGGACATGTAAAAAAAATGTTTAACAATGACTTGTGTTATTGTTATAAACTTCCTTTGTGTGATAAATGATTAAATTTTACAATGACATCTTGGATGACAGGTACTCTTGATTTGTTGCTTATTGTTAGGTTCAACATTTAGATTGAGACTCTTAACAGTATTGTAAACAAAATGATTCCAAAATGATAAGAATAAGGTGCACGTTCAAGTCCAAAGCAAAGCAAAGCAAACCAAACTGTAATAATTATATGATGACAACCCAAACCACACTGCTTAGAAACATCATGATATGGCAATCTTTCATGCTTCAATATTTCTTGATCACATTTCTTATCACTGTAGCTATTATTCAGCAGCAAACTTTGTACAAGGATAGAACTACAAATGTCATATGCCCCAAGCACCATAGGAGAAAACAGCAGCAATCTTCTATAGCCTACCTTGTATTAAGCTATGTGTATGAAGGTACTGTTCACAACTCATTTTAGCCATTCATGTCCAAAAACGTACGGCCCAAATTGTAACACCAATCATGTTTAAGTTGAAATCACCAATAGGGCAGTCTATTTTCTTAAAACTTCATTTCCACGCTATCCAAAGTACATGTAACATAGGATATTTGCATAGTTAAGTAAAAAAAAAGGATGTCCACATGGCTATTCTTCATTGATACTAGCAGCAAGCTCATGAAGATCCATTTCAAGTGGTCCCTCAACCATGAAACTAGCTTGCAGCACTGTGGTAGGAATGTCAACTCTTTGTGCAAAATGACATAACTTTCAATAGCTGGCACACAACTAATTATACATTTGTCATGGTCTGATAATAATTTGCTATTAATCACAGCCTGTCTCTATAATGAGACGACCCTCTTCTGTTGTTCTTGCCTGGATATCGCGGCCTGGTTACACCAGTTTTCCAGCCTGTTTCTGCACACTACTGCCCTCCACTGCCCTGTAGTAGTGTCCAACAGAAAAACATGAGAAATACAGTTTGTATGTAATAAGCTATTGCAATAATGACGGAAAAAACGCAAAAACACAGTAAACTGAGAAAACACTGACTTGATCAAACTGCTCTTTAAGTACATGTACTCTGTAGTTGTTAAAAGTTAAGACCTTGAAATGTAAAGTAATGTACCAAGCTGTAAAAAGTATTTACAAAGACGTACTCAAACAGTAATTTCGTAGATGGTGAGATGCACCAAAAGGGAAAATTTCCATTTTCTAAATTCATGTAGTATTTCATAAAGGTTCTAACCATAATTTACTAAAATTTATGGTGGCAGTTTGGAATGACTCAAGGAAAACTGTATTCCATTTACACGGCCTTACTGGAGTTGTCCTGTCCGCTGTGGCATGAGAACCGTGTTGTGCTGTGCCCTGAGGTGTGTACGGAGGGACCGCTCTGTAGCACACGTCTTCTCACACAGGGGGCAGGCCAGGTCCTTAGTCTGCTCGTGAGATCTGCGAATGTGCCTCCTCAAGTCACCTTAAAGTTAAGTAACAATGAAACAAAACACTGAAGTTGGAAGGTGATGAAAATGTATGTATGAACAAACAGATGGGACTGCTTTACAGTAGTGGTAAGCAAGTGTCCTAACAATTCATTTGCTTTCACTACTCAAGCTGTTGGAATACCTGGTACCTCAAAAGAATAGTTCTTCACTTAATTCCCTAGGAGCAAATGTTGTTATGTGGGTTTACCTGACTGGTAGTAAGTCTTGTCACACAAGGCACACTGGAATGGCTTGACCTTGTTGTGGAACCTCAGGTGGGTACTGAGGTCACTGTGCCGCAGGAAACCCCGCCCACACAACTGGCAGCGATACGGCTCTGTGCCTGCAGAATGTTATTAACGTACATCATTAGGGTAACTTTTACATTGTGATTTTAATCATGCCAGAGGTCTAACTACACACATATCGAAGGGTCCAAATTCACAAACACTTTTATTTCAACTCATCAAACAAACAAACAAACAAACCTGTATGTGTATGTAAGTGTCTCTTTAGATCTGAGATCTGGTTAAACCTCCTGCCACACCGTTCACATGCAGGCCTGCTATCCTCCTGAAGGGCAAAGACAATGTCATTCAATGCTCATAATCATGGTACATGTACCTACACTACAGGGTACAGACAAATATGGATGGCATATGTGAATGGCACATTGGTACACAGTATACAAGATGATGAGGATACAACAGTAACTCATGCATGGAAAGATATCTTACCTCTGTGTCAGCCTTGTGGAGCTGTAGATGACGGAGAAGGTTCTTCCTCGTAGTAAATTCCATGCTGCAAACATCACAGACAACCCCACCCTTCTTCTTCTGCTTCTTCTTTCCCAGTATAGACTTCTCCTGGCCTGGCAGCTTCATTATGTTGCAGACATTCTGGTTCTCCATCTCGTGTGGTAGTGTGACGATGATGGATCCAGGGGGCAGGGTGGCGATGGTGGTACATGGCACAGACGTGGCTGCAATAGGCTGCATGTTCAAGGGCACTCCTTGCACCATCAGTTCCTTGGCTGGTTGGGAATCTGCTAACTGTGAATTACTGAAACTAACCTGGCCCTGTCCCTTTGGGGTGAGGATGACAATGGACTTGGCAGTGATCTCCACGGTGTCCTGTGGCCCAACATGGGGGTTTGCTGTATCTGTGTTAGTCACACTGCTGACAGATAAATCTTGCTGATCCTGAGACACTGCTGGACTGTCGGGAACAAGTGAGAGGGACTGCAGGATATCAGAGGCAGTCAAGAGGACAGGATTCCCTCCTGTGTTTTCTGAAGCAACAACGTCTCCCTGTTGGCCAGACATTCTTGGTAAACTCTCCTGACTGCCCTGACTAGGGTTTTCTATTCCTGATGCTGCTCCATTAGTAGCTGGGACAAAGAAGACTTGTGCCAACTGGTCAGACGGTGATGGTGATGTATCCAATGGTGTAACCCCACTCATTTCTTCTGTATGTCAACTTTGTATTTTAACTTTGCAAATGATAACCTGCATGACCTGTGTAGAAAAATGTCAGAAAAATCCTTATTAAAGTAAATCAGAGTTATAGTACAGCTGGTTGCTTTTGAATCGTGTCTAAATGTAATTGGCAACTGAGAATCTCATAACTTCTTATTTGTAGCTACCCCGCAAGCCAAAAAAAGAATGGCTGACACTGTGCTTCATATACTAGTAACTGATTAACGTTAACCATTTCATCATAATGAACAGCTATGATCCTATCAATAGTGCAAGAAAAAGTCTTGTTGACAGGATCAGAGTAAAATACTGTGATTTGCATGTGAATGAATTAGACAAGACTTATAAACGTCAGGAGAAACAACAGAGATATTACTTTTACAAGTTACAACAGATCAAAGCTCCTGATAAGACTGGGGAGTCCTCCTGTCATGTTCTTTGATATTCTTGGCAACTCTTTTCGACTTATGACTACCCTACATAATTCATACACACCTGTCAGGACGCTTAAACGTTAATTCCCGCGTTAATCCCATTAAAATGTGACCCTTGTTGGTTGTAAAACCTCATTTGATTCCCGCAGTCTTATGTAAGGAGTGTGAACATGAGAAGACATGTTACATGAGTGCTGGAATGTGAACGACTTCGCTCTACACAGACCTACAAACTCCACAGAGCTGGAGAGACACCTCTGGACATCCTACGATCTTCTTCAAAGACTGAACTTCCGTGCAAGGAATCCCATAATTTCCAGTTGTCAAATGTAAGGAAGTAGGTTCAAATTTCCCACCTTGTCTTCTTTTTCCTTCGTTCCAACCACTAACATGGCAAGGGATGTCTTCAAGGCTAGCCATCCAACCTTTGACCCCGACTATTCCACGATTAAAGGAGGTTGTAATATCCTTTTAAACCACAGTCAAATTCATATGACACAGAATGTTAGAAATACAGACATCTTTATATATGATAAATAATTAACTTTAACGTTATCTATATGGTAGAACTTATGATCGATGATGAAAAATTAGATTTTCAAGACTGTTTTCGGACCACTTTCTTCTGTCCCCTTGTATGTAAAGTGGATTGTTCCAAATACAGTATGGCGGACGGTATGAACTGTTGAACTTTGTAAAGAAGTTTGTAAGGTTCAAATAAGCTTTTCTCGGTTTCGTGGAGTTGACTTAACAACCCAAAACGGGTGATAGACCAGCCTACTTTTCTACTTCCACCAGGAAGTGTACCAGAGAGGAAACACGGTACGTGAAGCTCGTTACAGCCAGTAGAACGTTTTAATACGTTACGTGGCATATGTCAAACTCCAGAGGAAAAGTTAGTCAAAAGTCAGAAATTTACAGAAATGATTTGTACGGATCTCTGGGACACCACGTAGCAAACGTTTAAGGCCAAATTAACACTATTTACCTAACACCTTTAATAATAACAACATGGATGAATTACGGGTAAGGTTATATTATTGTTGACACAAAAATAATTAATTAATAAATAATAATTAATTTATTGATAAATAATTAATAAACAAATATGATATTATAATCAAGTGCAGCCCTACAGTCATACCTAACCATAGATGTTGAAGTAAAGTCTGTCTGTTACAAAACTTTCCATTTTGAATCAGATGATTCTCTGGATCAGTCTCATATACTTTTTAAATCCGCATTATAATATCATGATAATTTTTTATATTTTTTATGTGTTTTGCAGCAGTTGCAACTGATTGGATAAGGTGTGGACCAAAGAAACAAATTTGATCTGAAACCTGCAGCACAATCGGCAGAGGGTAATTGTGTGACCACCATTCCACCATCTCTCTGATTTCTCCTGTGTGTGCTCTCTACCTGCTTCAGTTCCACCATGGCCTTTGTAGTGAATAACCTCAGACCTCTGTGTAAGCTTGGTGCTCTGACTGTCCACCAGCCGGCTTTCGGCATGGGTGGTGTGAGGGTGTTGGCCTGTGTTCACAGAGGAATGGCCAGCTTTAAGAAGATTGACCTGTCTGGAGTGTTCCCACCCCTGCCTACACCGTTTAATCAGGATGAGACGATCAACTATGAACACCTCAGGAACAACGTAACAAAGTGGAATGAGATTGGATTCAAAGGTACATGTAGGATGTTGATCCTGTTTTTGTTCAGTATATACAGTATATACAATATACAGTTTGCCACTAAACTTAATTAGCAGAAACTTACAAATATGAGTGAGGATGCATGACTTAAATGTTATGGAGTTTGCTGTTATTATATATACTATTGAGTGCCAGCTTTGCTTCTGATTTTCAGGACATTCCGGTCTAACTTAATGGGGTAAGGAATGCTCTTAAGCAGCCTTTGTAACCCCTGCTGTTGGGTCAGTTATTCGAGTTGTCTTGAGCATTTGATGTTTCTGGCTTAGGGAGGAGATACTGATCCAGTAACTTAAACTTATTATTAGCCTAGATGTGGTCATTCACCTATCGATCTTGAACTGAGTCAAATCACTTAAAAACAGGACATTAACTACCAGGGTACCAACAGTGTCCCGGTGGCCACTGACCACAAAATTTTAGGGCAGGATAACTAAAAAGACACTTTGGGACATTTTTGGGACAATAGAAAAATAATCAACATCAGATCTAGAATGTCAGCCCTCCTTTCGTTTATCAGGCACACGTCCCAGCTTTTGACTTCGGAAAAGTCTCCCCAAATTTCCTGTCTACTCTATATATAGCTAGGAGTCAGAACGTAAGCAAAATAAGGTTGACTTCAAGTTGAATGAAGTCATACATACTTTCCTAAAAACTGGTTGGGACAGTTCAACCTCTGAGGCCCTCACTTCGGGACAATTGAAATTTATTTTTGGGACAGTGCTGGGACAATAGGCAGAAAAGTTAATTTTGAGGCCTGATAGTGATACTACAGCAACCCCTGCCTCCCCACATGTTATTACATGATACATGTATGTTAACTCTACAGGCTATGTTGTGCAAGGCTCAAATGGAGAGTACACCTACCTGAGTGATACAGAGCGTGTTGAGTTGGTCCGGACAGTCAAGCAGGCTGCAGCTCCAGGCAAACTGATTATCGCTGGTTCTGGCTGTGAATGTGAGTAGCCACACTTTTCCTCATTCCTCTAAAGGTGATATATTACGTCAATGAAGGTTTGGCCTCCAGGTAGAATATTACGTAATATAAATGTAGGGCATTCACACTCAATCACAGATGTGACATGCCATGTGCCTGCAAAGCTAGTATATTTTGCCAAATTAAGGGCAGTTCAGCCTTCTCACAAAAATTTAGAGTAGGTGGCTGAAATAAGAAAGTAGCAGGCGAGCCATGAAGGGGTTTGTAATAGAGACTCCAATTTTACTTATATCTACACGAAAGTAGGTGGCGCAAAAATTTGAGTAGGCGGTGATTTTTGCCTGTTGCCGGCTTGTTCTGAGAAGGCTGCAGTTATACTAGCTATATACAGATGCAGATACACTATGAATCAAGCAACTGACCCATCAAGCAATGAACTTGGAAATGTCATACAGAAATCAAGACAAGGTTGAAAAATGTTGTACTTTCTGTTCAGCTACCCAGGCAACCATTGACATGACTTGTAAGATGGCAGAGGCAGGGGCTGATGTTGTCATGGTGATCACACCTTTCTACTTCAAGGGTCGGATGACAAGCCAGGCTTTCAAGACCCACTATGAGAAGGTACAGTGTGTTGTCAACTTCATGAACAATTACAACCAGTTGCTAGTAGCCATGTCAAAACATGTCATGAACCTTGTATACATGTACATGCACCTAAAGGTGAAATATAGTAGTTTCTTAGATTTATGAGGAAGAAAAATGGGGGAACATCCCTATGTCTAGACACCCCTATATTTGGACAACCATATGTTCCGACCCCCTGTCTTCTAACCGCCCTATGTTCAGACACCCCTAGGGTTAGGGTTGTGGGAACATACATTAAGTTGTTGGAACATATGGGTGTCAGAACATACATGTAGGGTATAACCAAAAACCTGATGTGCATTTTCAGATGTTTGTCTCCAAGCACTCATAAAGTAAGCAATTTAACACAACAGTGACCATAATCTTTGTTGTTCAGGTGGCATCAGCCAGCCCTGTTCCAGTAATCCTGTACAGTGTACCAGCCAACACTGGAGTGGACCTGCCTGCAGATGTGGTGGTGCAACTGTCACAGCATCCCAACATCATCGGCATTAAGGACAGTGCTGGAGATGTGAGTTGTTGGAACCGTCCAAGTTAACTAGTTAACACTCGCTTCTATACTCACTCATGTTTAGGTTCATTAACGTTATTTCTGGGTTGTAAAGTGATCAGTCAGGCTCGATCAGTGTTGGGTTCTTGATTACAGAACAGGGTACCTTTTCTCAATGATATGCCAGCTATCATTCTTGCAAATTGTTGTTGTTTGATAGTTGGATTTTGGTGATTCCAGGTGACCAAGTTTGGGTCCATGGTGCAGCACACTCAAGCCTCAGGTTTCCAGGTCCTGGCTGGGTCTGCCAGCTTCATGCTAGGCACTTACACTGTCGGTAGGTTAAAAATAACTTAAAGTTTATCTATTCTTTATACCCCTATCAATACTATCTATTATTACTTAGCAAGAGTTTCTAACAAGACCCTCTTATGAGTTACTGTGCCACAGGAGGAAAGAGGACTTTCGAACAGTGTTTGTCATATTGATATCCCAGTGTCACAAGTACTCTGTTTGATATGCGATTGTCCCTTTTAGCATCAAACCTTTGAAAGGCTGTCCTTACCATTTACAGTTATATTATCAGGGGTACATACAGTAGCCTCCTTCGCAGACTTCTGATGTGGCAGCATTAATTTTTTCTGGGAGCAACGCGAGTTATGCAGCGGAGGGAAGGTTTTTGCTGCCAAGGGGTTTGCCAAGGAGAGATGGTTTCTGCGCATCAAGAAGTCTGCTGGCAGTTGGCGACCAAAAAGGACTTTTAAAAAGCACTTAACAACATTTGGCGTGGATAGTAAACCTTCTGCAATAAACGCCACCAGGGCAGGGAGGTGTTCACATGCCCCGTTGCTCAACGAGCCACAACTTTCTAGCAGTCGCCAATCAACCCTTCAGTAGAACGCCAACCATTCCCGAAAATGCCCTATCCACTCAACAAAATCCTGTTGTCATTGCTGCTGCAAAAAACAACTTTGACAAGACCACCACTGACCACCACTGGAACCTGCAAGTGAAAACATGATACTATTGCAGGGGGACGTCAAAATCATAAGCAAAGTGCCGCCATGTTGTTTTGTTGGTGGTAGGTTGATCTCGCTGATTGATGGAGGGTACCTCAGACGGCAAAGCAGCAAGTTACGTAATAGAAATAATGACCGAATAAGCTAAAATAGCACTGCAAAATTTTTGTCATAGCTTGTTTGCATGGAATGCTTAAACATGCACAGGAATTCCTTTGTGGTAACATTACCAATGTTCAGACCCCATTTCTGTGTTGGAACCTTCCTCTATAATGCAAGAAAACTGACCGTGACAAAGGCGAACACGTGCCAGCCTTCTCCTTGTGTATGTTTGAATTACTCTTGCGCGAACATGTGAATTGCCCCTACACGAACATGTGAATTGCCCCTGCGTGAACATGTTAATAGCCTGTATGAAAGGCTGGCTTCATCCCCGTCCCTTCTTCGTTGCCGACTGGAAGCAGACTTCTTGAAACGCGGAAACCGTCTCTCCCCGGCAACTTTCCTCGGCAGCAAAACCTTCCCTCCTCCACATAACTCGCATTGCTCCCCGAAAAAAATCAACGCCGCAGCATCAGAAGTCCGCGAAGGGTACTAAGGGGTACACATGTACGGAGGAAATACATTGGCTCATGGTGAACATTTAAGTGCACACGTGTCAATCACTGAAGTGGTATGGCCACGTGTCACGGTCGGGGACTAGCCAAAACCATCATGTCTAGGGACTGTCTAGAAAGGAAGAAAAACAGTAGGCAACAGAAAAGATGGGAGGATAATATATCATAGAATGGGCTGATATTACATGAAGTGTAACATTATTATAAAGAAGAACAGAAAACCGAGAAGGATGGAGAAAACTGGTAATCAGATTCTCTGTTGTGAGATCGATGATGAGATGAAATGAAAGATGAGAGAGCACGTGGCTCTCCTCAAACATGTGAGCTCCATTTAGTCTGAGGGACGTCTCTAACCAAAACTAGGTACTTGAAATTCATGATAAGTGCCTTTCCTAAGGGCACTATATTGGTAGCCGGGGTACCATCCTGGTTAGTTTACATCTGCTCCCACAGTCGCTACTCGTTACTACATTGGGGCATGTCTGGGGTGTGGACCCAGAACCTATTGGTTCCTGGGCATAAACTACAACCGTTATGACAAAATGCATTATCATGCTGTTCCTATAACTTAAAAGTGACAGGAGCTTTACAAATACAAAAAATGGGGTCTTTTGATCACTTGCAGATCCTTAAATTTTTCCTCTAACATGATCTGTACTACTGTACATGATGTTTTGCTGGTTTCAGGTGCAGTGGGCTGTGTGGCAGCTCTAGCAAACACTCTGGGTAAGGAGGTGTGTCAGCTGCACAATCTTTTTAAGGAAGGGAAGATGGAGGAGGCCATGAAGCTTCAACACAGACTGATAGCACCAAACTCTGCAGTAAGTATGAGTCTGACTGTACAACGCCAGTAAATGCTTCAAATTCATAGTACCAAGGCAAGGTTTCATGACAACAAGAGTGATATCACACTATCCTTAGTTGCCTCCATAATTTCTGTTCCTGTTGTGTCTCAGATCTCTGGTTTTCATTACAAATGATCTTACCAGAAGTAACAAAGAAGGTTCAGATACATTTAATGCCACTGAATTTTACTTTGAGATTTTCTATTCATTGCTTTTTTTTCTTTGCTAGGTGACTCGTAAGTTTGGCGTGCCTGGCCTGAAGGTTGCCATGGACTGGTTTGGATACTACGGCGGTCCGACTCGTTTGCCCCTCCTTCCTCTCTCTCCTGAGGAAGTGGAAAGCATGAAGGCTGACTTCCAGAACAATGGCTTTCTCTAGGAAACAACAGTAGCTTGTGTTACATCTCTTCTTCTTCTTCGACATTAGAAAAGCAAAGACTCTTAGATACTGTTACATCTCTTGCTATCAGAGGTTGATTTGGCCATTTGGGCCTCTCTGAGAGCTTGCAAGTTGTGGCCATACACCTCTAATTTGAGAGAACCATTCCCAGAACTGGATTCTTTATCGCTATGATTAATTAAAATCAGTCCAATAAAAGCTCAGTATTCTCTGTCACTATGCAAAACAGTCATCACTGCCTTCAAAACTATGCTTCTCAGTCTGACAATAATTGTTAAATGTTAGTACAAAATGTACATATTTATAAAACAAGAGAATTAAGATGTACCCATTTCTGGTGACTTAGAGGTGTTGGCCATCAAGCTTATAGAAACCTGACCAATGGAAAGGCCGCTAGATCTAGAAGCGTGATGTAGTCTGGCTAAACCAAAGGAATGGGCATAATTGTCACTTATGTACTACTGCATGAGGACTGCCATGCATTTCCACAGCAACCACTGCAAAGTGTACCCTTTGTACCTGTGCTATGATCATGAGATGATAATGGCTGCTCAATGATATTTTATGACATTTTTGATACTTGGATATGGACCACTGAAGCATATGGTGCATATCTTCCATACATGTATTTCCAGGATCAATGCATTCTACCTTTGTGATATTGCAGTGAAAGCATAGGGACATGTAGTATTGGATATGATAGATTGATGCAGTTTTATGTAAAATATTGCAATATTATTTAGAATTTGGCTTGTCAAGTTTCTTGGATCATTTAGAATGCTTACTGAACTGATCATGTTTATGTCAACAAGCATTTCATTAAGGATGTGGAACTGCTGATGTTTGGCATCATACAATGAGATGGACACATACAAACATTATTTTTTTGTTTGTTTTGTTTGTTTTGTTATTTTTGAAATGATGAAACGAAGAGTTGGTGATATTACAGAAAATAGGTCCCCAAAGTAACTTTGGCAAGTTTTACAAAAAAGATGCATTGGCAATCTAGCAAGGAGGTTAAAGTCCTTGCTTATAGTAAGTAAAGAGTAGAATGCAACTGTAAGAGATGATGCAATGATACTACATTCATTGTACAATTATAGTGGCCCCTGTGTTGATAATCAGTTTTATGCACATTTTATCGTGAACTAAGCTGGCGAGGAGGTGGAATGCAAAAGTGAAACTTTTTTAATGAAGACTTTGCTATGATGCCATTCTAGGACATGATGAATTATTGTGAGACTGTATAACTATAAAATTGTATAATATGATACTGATTATGAATAGCATATTAACAATATACTTGTCATCAGAACAAGCTAATCCAATACCTCAATGTACCATTGACAACAACAATATTGCCATTTGTAAAGATTATACAAATGACTTTACAGCCAATAAAGACTTGCATGATTATGCATTTCTGTTGCAGTTTTTAATCCATATAAAAAGTTCCCTTGGGTCATATTGATCTTTCTGTCATTATATAAACAAACATATTTCAATTTACAATACTAAGATTGCAACAACTGTATTACTGAAGCAACAGATGTTGCAACTTACAATAATGAATTTGATGGCTCCATGTTTTGCCACTATGTTTATGTTTATTTTTAAGTTTATAACTTCATGGTTGCACATAATGAAATAGTTTGGACTCTGATACTTGTATTAAATGAAAATCTTTTAATATGACTTGTCTTGCAAATTGTTCAGCAGCACCAGGTGAGCATAGTTCTGTGCTTATTGCCGTTGCACCAAAATTGTTAGATTAGTTTGCATGCGGACATATTTGAGGGATGTCTGAAGATGTCGGCAGGTGGTTGTAAGAAGGGTGACCAGGCATCTTACACGCTTGACGGGCAGTAACCAGTGGAGACAGGTAAAGGTACAAGACCCCATAGGTGTCAGTATTGGCATAAGTATACCTGATTAACTCCATAACAAGTGCACAGATACTGGTAACAGTTAGCTTACAAAGCTTTTCATAATCCAGCTTTTATAAACATATGATCACAAATGGGCGGTATCTAAGGAATATTGCAGTAAGTTTGAAATTAACAGTGCTATGATTGAAAAAAAAAACACATTTTGCAATACATTGAAGACAGCTAACATTATCAGCAATCATTATAACATCAGAAATACAGGAATAATTGATAGCCTTCCTGCTATCTGAGTGATGAATGATGTTGACTAACTTGAGTTGTCACATTGAATTGAAAAAAAAGGGGATCATCCATGTTATTAGATCTAACATTTAATATCATAGACAAGCCTTTTCCCTTTGAAATGTTATCTTTTCACACACTTTGAAGGAACCGTAGAGTAGTAAAATACTGCAGTCTGACTTGTGTTTAGTTACCAGCATAGACAAATTGAGACAAGTAACCATCGAATTACTATTTTTCACACTTTAACTCCATTCTGTCCAAGTGTCTGTCAAAGTGTCTGAACGTATGCAATGTGTCTGCTCTGCAATCATCAGGCACATCTTTGGATGACGTATGGTGTATTAGTCCCGACATGCAGCGCGCGGTCTCTGTTTGCTGGACATCGTCGCCAAGATGAACCCCACGTAGAGGACGCGGCGATTTCTGCACGATTTCTGCCTAATTTCGCTCAAATTTGGCTCTGAACTTTGGGACAGAATGGCGAGCGCTAGTGGCTCGAAAGCAGAGTTCCACGTGGGAGCAGGAAAATACAGACTTGTACGGAAAATCGGCAGTGGATCGTTCGGGGACATCTACCTAGGAATCAACATAACAAATGGCGAGGTGGGGCGCTCCTCTCGCCAGCTCAGTTTTCTGCCACTTGGCCCTAGGGAATATCAGCTGAAAATCCTTTCAAACTACCGGTCTACGCCCGTCATAAAGATCTTCAAATCTTCTATTTTGTGTTTCAGGAGGTAGCAGTTAAGTTAGAGTCACAGAAAGCCCGACATCCACAGCTCTTATACGAGAGCAAACTGTACAAAATCTTACAGGGAGGAGTCGGAATCCCTCACATTAGGTGAGTTCCTTTGTTCGATATTTTGCGACTTATCACTTTAAAAATCGTCCGAAATTTGTCACGCACATGATGTCGTGGGTGTTCATGAATGTTTTTCTGTGTGGCATGTTGACATTGATTATCGTTTGGACGGTAAACGAAGGATTGGAACTGAACGGGTGCAAGGGTTTAGCTACAGCTCGCAATGGCGTACAGTTGTGAAAGTGGACGGGGATCCCCACATATTCATGAGGCAACTTATCGCTATTTTTTCCAGATTTTTATCTGGTATTCTCCAAACATAAACCACGGGACACCAGAGATTGAAATATTATATATTCTGCTATCGATTGTGTCAGGTGGATGATTTTTGAAGTCCCATTTCCTGGGGTATACGGAAAACCTCGGGGCAGTGTGACGTAGTGTGTAGTCTGTTGCCAACCAGGATTTTGTATGGCCTGAATTATTGGGTGGGGCTGGAATATTTAACTATTACTCATAACAGAACAGTCTTTTGTCATCGGTTTTAGACAAGATATGAACAGGTTCTAGGGTCAAGAAAGGTGAGGGTGTTGAATTGTATGAAAGAGGTGTTTCTTCACTAGTTCTAACCCATTTTGTGTGTACAGTATGTTACTATGTGTTTGTTTGCTTGGTTGGTTAGACAAAGACAAATGTGACCCACATGAATGCAGATATGAGAGATTTTTAAAAATCGAGGTGCAGTGTGAAAAATCAATGAACAATCTGTCCATGTTGCAGTCTTGGGTGGTGAAAATTTATCTAAATTTATAATTGTTTTGCTTGCTGCAACCATGTAAACCTTAGTGCTAATTTGCTAAACTGTAGCCTACAGTGTAGGATTATGAATTGTGTGATCATGTACTTTCTACTCGAAACATGTAGCATACTGCAGGCGAAACCTGGTGTAGAGTAGAGGGAGTATTTCTCTAGTGTAAGAAGACATATGCACAAGGTTTCTTTAATTCGATAGAGACTATTACAATAGATGTAAAGCTGAATGTTGTGTTAAGTCACCGAATTTTGTCCCAAGCAGGAGGCCCACTGAAAGAATCGTGATGTTGTCATGTGCCTGCTGGTCATGTGGGGCACTGACAGGCAGGTTAGGGACACCTGTCCCACCCACTACAGCAAATAGCAGGGGCTCCTATTGTTTGTTTGTTTGTTTGTATTATATACATAAGTAAACTGTCTGTTTTGGCAATTAAGACCTGAAATATCCTGTAGTTCACTGAAAACATTGAAATCAACATGAAGTTGATATGCTGTCATCACTTCCACATTTACATGGCCAAACTACCAGCTTAAATACAAATGTATACTCGCCTTCTGTGAAAAGAAAAATAAACCTAGCAACAAGGAGGTCTTGAAGGCACCATTAGACATTAAATTATGGGGATTAAAGCATGCACAGCTGTCTCAGTCATTTTCATATTGCTCATTTGCATCTTTGGTTGCTGTGCAGACCATCCTCTCTCCATAAGAGGGGTATAGCACTGACACAAATATTCAAATGATGCAATTTTAGATACTGCTCATCTGTGACAAATCACGACATGCAAGACAAAGGAGGTCACTTGTCCCTAGACATTTAATTCACAATGAAGTCATGTCCTGTTTGTGTGGTATGTGCATGCGTGTATGCGCACACACACGCATGTAATTGTACAAGATACAAAGTATGTCATTGATTGCTAAATTACAAATATACTATAAAACTAATCTACCTTACAAAGAGTAGTATATAGTATAGTTTGAGAATGTGTGTGTGTGAGTATGTATGTGTGTTTGTTCCTAACCAGTCTTATGTCAAATGTCCTTGCAGCTCCTATCGCAATATTGTTAATTGAGAAGGATGCATTGATTTTTAACCATGCCCCTAATTGTTTGTGTGGTAAAGTATGTATATACATTGACTTAAGTATCTGGTATTTTTAGCTGCTGACAGACACAGGTGAGCACATGTTGTCTGGAGGATTTCCCCTCAGGATAGACTTTGTTTATCCAATCTTCCTTGCAGGGAACATGGCAACCCACACAATGAACATAAATGGCATTTGTAGATAGACAAGAACATTTTGTAATGTAGAATTCCATGTATTGCCTCAATGTTCTATATACTGATGGCAAAGTATCTATACATTAAGTACATAAAAGAATATGGCCTGTACAAGTTTCCTGTATTTCAAAATAGCATCTATACTAACCAGTCTACTTTCATGTTACAACAATGGTTAACCAAAGGTATATTTGTGGTTAGACTGCAACCCTACATTTATAATGAAAAAATGATGAACTGAAATTTTATGTGTTTTACATATTTTAAGCACTAGTACTGTAGTAGTTATTTTCAAATTGTCATGATGCTAGTGCTACAGACCTCTGACCCCTGAGGGAACTTGCTGCTGCCGTTGATATGATTTTTAAAATGGTACCGTTATAATGTATAACTCTGTCAAACATAAAGGCGTGTAGTTGCTAAGTTTCAGTGGTGGAGCACTGTGACAAGAAGGGTCATCATGCCAAAGGGTAGTTAGTCTCTGGACTGCTGATTATTTCTCACTCTCTGTCCCAGTAAGCAGCTTTAATTACCAGCTTGGTCCCAAGGTAGTTGGTGAAGCCAGGACATGGGTGATACACTCAATAATGACTGTTGGTCTCAGCTGCTAGAGTTAATACTAATGATACTGCTAAATGAGAAATCAAGTAATCCCCAGATATAGCTGCTAGGCATAGTGTTTATAATAATACATTACAAATGTCAGAAATATAAAGTACAGTAGTAATACACTCACTGTAAAACAGTGTAATTGTGTGACAGTATATGGCATATGTAGAAATACTGGAACTTGGTCTGCCATGGAAAGAAACTGACTGTTGATGGAACATACTATATGTGCCTCAACGTTGTCTAAATGTCAAAATATTCAACAATGTTGGCCATAAGTTTATATCCATTAGGGTTGAAGGGATGTTAAAATGTTCCAGTAGATGAATAGAGCTTGTTTTCCTCCATGATTGTTTGTATCTCCAACTGCAAGTTTACATTATGATTATGACAAGTTCTGTTGTAATTTGTCTGTATCACAGTGCATTAAGTCTCATACAGGCAAAGAGATGACAGGAAGAACACACATGTAGGACACGTCCTTGTCTGGAAAGGAAACCACAGAATAGTGTCCTGGGTAGCTGCTCAGCTGTCACAAAGGCATTTTCTATTTCAGTGCTTCTAGGAAATGTGTGTTAGTGAACCATCACCAATATCAGCAGCCCATACCACCCAGTATAGAATGTTTGGAATATAGATGACTGATGTGTATATGTGGGAGGAATTGAATGGGTAGAAAAACTGCATGTCTGTGGCTTGAATTGTAATTACATGTAGAATTGTTCATGATTCTGAGTTTTGTTTAGTACACAATGGATAACATACCCTCAATTAGTATAAGCAATGATTAAACAGTAATCATACCAGTGTATTACTATTACTTTAATTTGTTGTAGCAGCTGCTGCCTAAAATTATGCTTTATAATTTATAGAATGATTGTGGGCCCCACAAGTTGAACACAGTTTTTTGTCTGTCTGTAGCAATGTTTGAATTGAGCATGATATTGACACTGTTGCTACAAACTTGTAAAATTGTTTACATGAACATTAATCAAATGTAATGTGTTGTGCATATTTTAGATAATTCAGGCACTACGTAGGCTGGTTTATCTGCTTCTATATATATCTGAAACATGATTTTTTAACGATTTGTTAAGAGTTAAGACCATGTAAAGATAGTTCCCGTTGCTAACGGAAGATCATTTACCAATCCAACCAGAAAGTAGGACAGCAAAGAGTTGGGTCAGTTCTGGTTACTGTTGGATCTTTGTCTAGGAGTACAGACTGTTAGTCTTTTCAGTTACATTAGGTAAAGCTATCAAATTGTGGCTAGAATTTAAAGATGTCCTGCAGAGTTTTGTTTGCACTTGAAAGGTGTTGTGTTGCAGTCTCTGATTGAACAACAACAAAAAAAAACCAACATTTCACCCCATTCCAAGTCTGTTGCTAGTGTACACCTATTGTTCTCTTGTAGCTGTAAGTATAAGAAGAAACATTCTGGAGGGCTAGGTAACCCAGCCATTGTGCAAGAAGGAAACCTGTGTTTTTTCTAACGGATACCTGTAGAAATCATGTTTCCACTGCAACACATGGTATGTAAATACCACTGTTCTCTGGTTGCAGCCAGTCTGTTGTTATCAGGAAGGGTCAAGCGCTGGCTTTGTTTGTTTAGTTTATAGGTAAACAAACGGATGCCCATGGACAATCCAACGCCCAACACCGAGGTGTGCCCTTGTTGGCGTCCTTCAGGCTTGCTGACCTTCAGGAGGTGGCCAGTGGGCTAAGATAGCCCAGGATGTATTTAAGGCATCTTATCCCCCAAAGTAATTTGTGGCTAGTTGGCTTGTAACATATGCCTTTCACTTGGCCTGTAGCAAGCTCCACTGCTGTCAAACATGAAGACAAATGGTGGAAAATGGAACCTGTAACAGAATACACTTACTTTGTACCTATTGTTAGATATTGGTCATGAAAGCTCAGTTATGGCATGGTCACATTCATCGAAGGTTGTCATAAGATTTTGATGTTGCAGTGTTCTATAGCGGGCTGTGACAGAGCTAGCTGCTGTCAAGGATGTAAGACAGCATTTTCCATAACAAGATATGACGTCAAGCACTGAAAACAAAAACAGAAACAAGATGCTGGTGCTCGCATTACATAAAATTCCAACATGGCAGCATCCATTGCACCATTAAAAACAATAAAGTTAAAAGTTTAAACAAATTGTGATAAAGGTGTGTCAAGGCTGTAAAATTTCCCCACCTTTCTTTGTTCTGGTGTAATTATAAAATTGGCTACACAACTGGATGACCAAGTACAAAAGGTACAGGAGACTCCCATACAAGTGAAATGGATCAGATGTGATCAAAGCTTGGCCTCTGCCCTATTTTGCACTACATCTGAAGTTTGTGCAGGTGCAAGAAAATTCACGTGGGAAAATGTCATGTCATGTGCGTTGCAGAAATTTGTTCAGCATATTTTTCTGATTTCATTGCATGTAATCCTTAGAACATTTGGAATTGGGTGGGGACTAGTTGACTAGGGAGATTATGTTCTGGACTGTCTACATTGTTGCTGATGGTAAATTATCCTAAAAGCTAGTATGGGAATGATCGAAGTGGAGGGTGGGGCATTCCCATATCCCTATACAGTGGACTATTCAGGCAGATAATTGGTGAAAGTGTTCACCTGCATGTATAATGGGGACTCTGCACTTCCTGAATATATACAACAATGGAGATTGTGATCAGGCCTTGTACAATGTAGGTTTGGTGTAGGACAGGTGTAACCAGCTGGATGTGTCAGTAATGCAGAAAGACAACACAGATGGCTTTTATCTAGTGCCCTGGGGACTTGGCAAAGGTGCGTCATTGTATTGTAATTGATGAAGGGTGGACAAAGCATCAAGGGTGCTCTTGCGTCATAGCTACCCAACCGTTATGAAAAACACTCGTCAGCAAAATGGGTGTATGGAGAAATATTACAGCTCTGCTATTTCAAGGAACACTCATGAATAGAATTTGATAACTAAGAGTATTTTGGACTGGAGAGCTTTCTTGTAATTGATGTATTTATGTGAACTAAAAGGCTTTGAATATAGAATCTCATAAAATGTGTTAATTGCTTTTGTCAGAGAACTTAACATGACACATAGCTGCTTTTGTGCCCCTCCCATTCATAAATAATGCACATGAATAATATCTGAGTGGGTTTGGTGTTCTGTGATGCATACCTTTGTGCTATTGTTGGCACAGATATAAAGGTTAAACACAGAATGGAATGTGAACAGCTTGATCGAAATGTAACCAGTGATTTTATATTTACATATACTGGCAGTGACATGTCTGTCTGCCAAAAGAAAGAACAAAAAGACCCCAAAAAAGACAGAAAATGCACAGTTTCATTTCCCATATTTGTGTAATATTTTGGGTTTGGTGGTAGTTTGGTATCTTAGCATAACCGTTACATTTGGATAAGAAATACAGTTAACATGAGATACATATGTTGGTCTGAATAGCAAAAATGTCATCCTTAAACTTACAGATTTGATGAAGACAAGTTAATGTACCTACCCTTTCAGTGCTGAGTAAGTAGTTCTTAAAAGGGCTAGAGGACATTATGTGGTACTTGGGGATAGAGGGTGAAGAGGGAGGAGCCTAACCAGCATCTGTCATGACACAAAATTGTGCTGCTGATTATAGACAAATATTCTGACCTTTCAGTTTTTGGTGGAAAAAATAAAAAGCTAGCTGGAACTGTCCAGGTTATCAAGTTGCATGATAGATGCCAACTTTTCCCCTTTTTTGCATGTGTGTATGTGTGTGCGTGTGCGTGCGTGTGTGTAGGGGAGGGGGTTATGATGTGAAAAGCAGTATAACCAGGCAGTAATTTGTACCACAAGAAATTGGAAAGTGTTTCTGCACTGCTGCCAAATGTTAACGTAATGGAAATCATGTATGTACCAGGGTTCTCCCCAGACGATGGAACAAGGGCGCTGCGCCCTGATACTCCTAGCTCAGCGCCCTCATACTCATTTTCAAATCTAGGGTGTTGCATCCCGATTTTTCTACAAAATTTCGCTAAAATTCGATAAAATTTCCTGATTTCGGGGCTTAGTGGCGTCTATTTTCCCGCCGGCATTGTCTCTGAAAACTTGTGAATGGGGCGATAATCGAGTAAACAATGAGTATTTCGCACGACGCTACTGAGAGAATCGCTGTCATTGGTGGAACATCGGGCGCCCCGCTAGCGTTTTGAAGTCGTGTAAAGAAAGCTAATTGTCTGATTTCTTTGTAAACCAAAGCCCTCGACCCTGATAATAAGTTTAAAAATAAAAGCCGATACGTTTACGAACTTATAAACCGTAGAAAATTCCCTACCGTACCGCGACATTATGAAGCATGTGGCGGCCGCGAAATTCGTTGACGCGACAGAAAATGTCTGGTTCATGATAGCGGTATTTCCCATGAAAATAACGTATACGATTTATTTTTCCCCTGCTGTCGGTTTTTAAGTCCCGAAACGTTAAAAAAAAGCTGAATTTTGCCCACAAACCCGGACGGGGGACGGCCTGTACCTATCGGCGTAGCACATGGCGGCCGCACCGCAAGGCTTCTGCCAAAAATCGGCAACGTGACAAAAAAATGCATGGTCCATTTTAGCGATATTTACCATAAAAATAACGTATGTGGTTTATTTCTCACATGGTATGAGTTTTAAGGTCTCAAAACCTCTAAAAAAGCAGAAATTTGCCGACGAAAACGGACGGGCAAGGCATGGAGAGGGCACTGTTGACGCCTGCATGACCCCCAAAAGGTCGAAGGTCATAGGGCACGTCCATTGCGCAATCACCTTAATTCGCCGATTTAGCTAATTTTAGGGCGTTTGAAAATTGATACAATCACATTATCGACTTGTAGACAAGCAAAGGGATAGAAACCAATAAAATGTTGTGCAGATTAATATTTTTTTCTTCAGATTTCTTTTTTTTTCTTCTTTTTTTTTTAAATTCAAAAGTATTTTCTTGAATGTGTAACTTTGTTAGTCCTAAACATGAGACCGATTATTTAATGTTAGAGAAGTGAAATTTTGTTTTGATGGTACTCTTGATGGTACTTTGATAATTATAAGGGACTTGTTTACAAGTTGGTGATAACATAAGGATTAGCATTAGGATAAGGTTTTGTCCCAGCTTCTCTACATTTTCCCATAATTGCTTGCCTCAAGTTCCAAGTGGAAAATGTATGACTTAATGTCATATTCTGTTTCAATTGTCGAACTTGAAGGCACCGTTGGCCCCCGGTTAGGGGTCAGAGCGTGGAACCTATGCCCAATTTTTCCTGTATGTTAACATTTTTTTCTGGTCAGTTCAAAACCTGAAGTTGCAGGAAATGGACTTCCATTTGTATTNCTGATGGTAAATTATCCTAAAAGCTAGTATGGGAATGATCGAAGTGGAGGGTGGGACATTCCCATATCCCTATACAGTGGACTATTCAGGCAGATAATTGGTGAAAGTGTTCACCTGCATGTATAATGGGGACTCTGCACATCCTGAATATATACAACAATGTAGATTGTGATCAGGCCTTGTACAATGTAGGTTTGGTGTAGGACAGGTGTAACCAGCTGGATGTGTCAGTAATGCAGAAAGACAACACAGATGGCTTTTATCTAGTGCCCTGGGGACTTGGCAAAGGTGCGTCATTGTATTGTAATTGATGAAGGGTGGACAAAGCATCAAGGGTGCTCTTGCATCATAGCTACCCAACCGTTATGAAAAACACTCGTCAGCAAAATGGGTGTATGGAGAAATATTACAGCTCTGCTATTTCAAGGAACACTCATGAATAGAATTTGATAACTAAGAGTATTTTGGACTGGAGAGCTTTCTTGTAATTGATGTATTTATGTGAACTAAAAGGCTTTGAATATAGAATCTCATAAAATGTGTTAATTGCTTTTGTCAGAGAACTTAACATGACACATAGCTGCTTTTGTGCCCCTCCCATTCATAAATAATGTACATGAATATAATATCTGAGTGGGTTTGGTGTCCTGTGATGCATACCTTTGTGCTATTGTTGGCACAGATATAAAGGTTAAACACAGAATGGAATGTGAACAGCTTGATCGAAATGTAACCAGTGATTTTATATTTACATATACTGGCAGTGACATGTCTGTCTGCCAAAAGAAAGAACAAAAAGACCCCAAAAAAGACAGAAAATGCACAGTTTCATTTCCCATATTTGTGTAATATTTCGGGTTTGGTGGTAGTTTGGTATCTTAGCATAACCGTTACATTTGGATAAGAAATACAGTTAACATGAGATACATATGTTGGTCTGAATAGCAAAAATGTCATCCTTAAACTTACAGATTTGATGAAGACAAGTTAATGTACCTACCCTTTCAGTGCTGAGTAAGTAGTTCTTAAAAGGGATAGAGGACATTATGTGGTACTTGGGGATAGAGGGTGAAGAGGGAGGAGCCTAACCAGCATCTGTCATGACACAAAATTGTGCTGCTGATTATAGACAAATATTCTGACCTTTCACTTTCAGTTTTTGGTGGAAAAAATAAAAAGCTAGCTGGAACTGTCCAGGTTATCAAGTTGCATGATAGATGCCAACTTTTCCCCTTTTTTGCATGTGTGTATGTGTGTGCGTGTGCGTGCGTGTGTGTAGGGGAGGGGGTTATGATGTGAAAAGCAGTATAACCAGGCAGTAATTTGTACCACAAGAAATTGGAAAGTGTTTCTGCACTGCTGCCAAATGTTAACGTAATGGAAATCATGTATGTACAGTACTTTCTATTCAAAACCTACATGAACTTTTAAAATGGGCAGATTATGAATCCAAATCATTTGTCTTTTGAGACAATGTCAGCTGAAGAACATGTGTCCCCTCTTGTGTTGTTCCAGATGGTATGGCCAGGAGAGGGACTACAATGTATTGGTTATGGACCTGTTGGGGCCCAGCCTGGAAGATCTCTTCAACTTCTGCTCACGGCGCTTCACAATGAAGACAGTTCTCATGTTAGCAGACCAGGTAGGCAGCCACTTTTCCCATGATTTTCTTCTGAGTAGATGTGATGAATAATATATATGTTATGGTGCGACTTCATCAATGGGGCTCCAAGTTCGTTTTTTGGCATAGGTGAACTGGTGCAGCTAAACATAAAAAATCTAGGTGTACAGAGAAAAAAAATGTATGCACAACATTATAGAAAGTAGAATGTCAGCAAAACAAAATAACAAATTTGACTTCCTCTCAGATTCTGATGTCTATAGCTAACTTCATAATATTAAACATGTGATGCAACACAGGTTGTATTATTTTTTCTGACACGAGTTCAGCTGTAATCCTATACAAATATTTAGGTGCACCAGTATACTCAGACACAGACAGTGCATAATGTACCCAGTATTTCAAGCCCTGATGAAGATTGCTTGAGGTACTGTTCAGTCTTGACACCATGTTGCCTTTCTTTTGTCTACCCCTGCAGATGATAGGTCGTATCGAGTATGTACACAACAAGAACTTCATCCACAGAGACATCAAACCAGACAACTTCCTCATGGGCATCGGGCGCCACTGTAACAAGGTGAGGCAAAGACATGCCCAAAATGCTCAAAAGGTAATTTTACACAGTTGTGGCCCTCCAACAGCTAGCAAGGCTCAAGTTGTTGGCATTCCTCCAAACCATCACTGTCAAACTTCTTGGTAGAAACTATGATAAAATTGTTCTTTGTCTTGTTGGTTGAAACAAAAAAATTGTCTATGGTTGGCCACAGGACTGTGTCCAGAGAAACACTTATTATTGGATTCATGGATAGAAAAGCCAGGAAATTTGTAGCATTAAAACATACACACATTTACTTTGGCAAGACTCATTTCTAAGAGAGGTAACATCCTTTCCTTGAAAAAGAAACACTTGGTATTTGTAACAAAAAAAAATGGAACAGTCACAAAGTAATCTGTTTTACCAAATTATCGTTTCATCAAAATGGTCAAACCTTGTTTACTCAGGAAAAACAACATCAAATTAAGTTTACAGTAAGGGACAGCAAGAACATATCCACACAGTTGACCAGATAGCTTCTCCTTTGGAGAATAGGAACATTTTGGGTGTGTAGAGAAGAGTGTGCTGTTCTGTTTTGGAAGATCTTCCCTCTCCTCTCCTCAGTCCCACCAAACCTTGACACACCTCCACATTTCTTCCTACTGGACTTCCCACTGATACTCTACAGTTTCCATCGCTGGGTGTGCACTCCCATCACTTGTATAATGGAAGAGGTTTTCTCCCTTGCTTTTGCAAACTTCAGCTTTGCTTGAGAGGAGGGCCACAGCCAATTCTCCTGAATGGGTCCACTCACATTTTTTTTACTTTCAGCCCATGTTTTTCAGCTGTGTTGTTGGGGGAAGCCACTGACTGTGCTATTTGAGAGACATAGTCATTAAAAAAATACATGAATTCAAAGTGTGTCTATCATAAACATTTGGCCTTCTTTAAGTACTAGTAGGATGGTATTTGTAAATTGTAGGTTTGCGAGCTGTTGATTCACTGCTACATTAGATGTAGATATATTGATGCCAGATTAATATTGAAATGCATGGTGCTATGGATTCATTGGGATATCTGGTGATGTCTGATCAGGCTTTTGTCAGCTAACTTGGTATATAAATGTAAGCCAAATCCAGCCTTTTGTTTTTGGGGAGTGTGACCAAGACTGTGTACATGGTAGTGCCATCTGTGGTTGTGGCTGCAGTGATGGTTTCTGTCCAGTGACACATGATTTGCTGTCTAATATTAACATATCATTCAACATTTTTCCTGACAAATTTGTGTAACAAATTAACTATGTCTATAGGCTACTAGTTTGTTTTGAGAGCTCTGCCAGTGTCTGCTCTATAACTTATCTCCAGAGAACTTGTCTTCAACATCTGCTAAGTCTCACATTTTCATGGCTTTTTCCAATTTTCTTCAATTTATCATCAAACTTCTGCTAAAAGTATATTGAAAGTATTAGACGTGGCATTCTAACACCTTTAACACACCATTATGGGGTGGGGTGTATTGTGAAATATGTATAACAAAGCACTCTTGCCAGCATACAAGAATACAGAATTGTGGGGAGTTCAGATACCTAGCCAAACGTAGACATGTTTGTGTTGGCACTGTGGCTTCCCAAAAGTAGCCCCACCTGGCATGCCCTCTGATGACTGCAGTTAGTGAAGAGAAATCACTGCAGACAGATACGGGGCAAACAATCACACAAACTGATCACTAAAAAAAAATCAAACAGTTAAAAAATATCTGAGTGTAGACACACAAACACTTGCAACATCTGACTGTCTCTCTGACTTTTGGTTTACTTTGAGCTGTTTGTGATATTTTTGAGTTGTTGAATTTTTCTTTGATTATTTTGTCTTCTTTCTTTGCTTTGTCTTCCATTTCTTGAACTGAATATCAAGTTTTGTATTGTAATACTTGCCTTGTTGTTGCTAGGTTTTCCTGATAGATTTTGGCCTTGCAAAGAAGTACAGAGATAGCAAAACACGACAGCACATACCGTACCGGGAGGATAAGAACTTGACTGGCACCGCTCGATACGCCAGTATCAATGCACATCTTGGAATAGAGCAGAGGTGAGTGGGGGGTGGCTGTCACACAGAGGTGCCCCCTGTCTTAAAGAGATAAGCTTGGATATTGGAGAAGAATTTTTGGGGGTCCAATCATTTGACAGAATTTCATCATTTACACGATTTTTAAAGTTACAAACCCTACATGCTATAATTATAATGGGATTGTGAAAGAATGCCTTTATAAGGTAATCCAAGTGTAATCTGAAATGTGAACTATTCCAAGCAGTCATCCTAAAAAAATTTAAGTAAAATGAAGGAGGCAGATGAGACTCTAACCTGGATGCCAGACTGTTCCCAGGTGGAGAGGAAACATTTTCCTCGTGGGCTGTGGTAAAATTTTCTTGGGGTCATGTTGGTCCTTGAGCCAAGCAGCTGGCCTGTGTGGGCTCTGGAAATCTGGCATCCAGGCTTATGAGAAACTTCTGTTGTGCTCAGAAATGAACTTGAACAATGGACAGCAAGACAGTGATGTTTGTTTTTGTTTTTCCCAGTCGCCGTGACGACATGGAGTCCCTGGGCTATGTGCTTATGTACTTCAACAGGTCGAGCCTCCCATGGCAGGGCCTGAAGGTAGGCGCTGTGCGTACTTGTACTAGCTGTCTTCTCCCCTCTGGTTGGTACGGCTGGTCGGATGGTCTGCTCCAAATTCAACCCTGTGTGCCTCTGTCCCCCAGTGTGTGTTAGATATCGATTTACAAGCTGGGGCCATATTTTCCCCGAGGTTCAACCTTTGCAGGATATAGCTGACATTTCTTGCCTATGGGGCATATGGCCACAACGGTGTTCAAATTTGAATTTCAGAAGAAAAGGGCATTCTGGACAATAATCAATTATTGAGTGGCCTTTGATTTATACATGTACAGTGTTACAAAATGTCTGCATGGTGAACATTGTAAATTGTCAAATTTGCCACTGAAATGTGAGGTGAGATGTGGTGAGAATGCAAAGTAAGTTTGCCAATGGTTGAATAAGAAGGTGACCATCTAAATCACAATGTTTGGTATACTGTTTAAATGAAAGCTATCGAACACTGTATAACAAGCTTTTTTACACCCCCTTTTTACTAGAGACTGTTACTGCTAAGCAACCACTAAGTGACCAAATATCGCTCAACTAATTTTATGTACAAAGCATATTTCGTGTCATTTGTTGTCCTTAAAATCATATTTAAGCATGATACATCATATTCTAATTATGAAATCAAGGGTCTTGAAAATCCAATTTTGGCCACTGTACGGTTGCTCGGCAATCACCATCTAATGTGAAGGGGTCTTAACAAGGAGCATGTGTCCTGAAGGCTGTACCAACCTTTGCATAACCGTAGCACTTAGTCGTTTGACCATAGGAATAGATGGGTGTGTGCATGTTGCCTGTGCACAGAGATTACATTAAGCGCTGTAGAAAACAGTTTTCTCCCTGTATTACACCATATAGTATTCCGTCACTCCCAGTTTTTACACTCTCAACACTTTCTATGCCCTCCCTTTAGCAGTATCACATTCTTCCATTTACGTAGTTTAGCAAATGTACAATGGTTTTGAATTAAAGGGTTAATAACTACTGTAGTGCTTACCTCTAGTCCAGGATGGACTTTCAAAGGTTACAAAGATGATATTGTTTCACAAGTATCTGAAATTCCATTGCAAACTTCAGAGTTTTCTGTGTGGGAAGTATGGTCTCATGTGGCACCTTTTTATTAAGAATCACAAAGTAAAGTACGGAGTGGCACAATCCAAAATATTCACAAGGCAAGCTTGAAAGTAAACATGTTTAAATAACATCATCCATACTAGGGCTTTTTCAGCCACTTTTGCTGTACATAAACTACTGTTACAAAAGGCTCCAAAGGAAAATTATGTGTAATGGTGCCATGATTGTAAAGTAGCAGTGAAATAAACTATTACTCTGCTTCATTAACAAATGTTACAAGAAAATTGAGTTAAATGCATGCCTGTACATGCATATCTACAAAGAAATGGAAGCTTTTGTTTCTGGCATTTCCCCAGCAGTCAGTCATCAGTCAGTTGACCTATGGCCAGGGGCCCTGTGTGATAAGGAGACAACTGTTGTTATTCTTCTGTTTTCCTTCCCTGAAGCAGTGTGCATCCATTATTTCCTGTTGCCCATTCTGTGTGATCAGTTGTCCCTCTCTTGTTCCTTGGTGTAACTGTACCCCCCCCCCAGTTATTTCTCCAATGTTGGTTGAATTTCCCAGAATGAGTTGTGTATGCCACTTGTCTGATGTGATGCCTTCATCTTTACACATACAGTGCTTAAAGATTGAGTCTGCTGAATTTTTGCCCATTCTTTAATATTGTTTAACATGTTGCTTGTAAAATGTGTGTGTAAAGTGCTTCTAGCCTAAAATCAATATGCATGGGTGGGAACCACATGTTTTATTGGCAATGATAATGCAAGCCACCCTCTCATGGCAAAGAGTAAATCTTATAGAGGATGGGTGATCACTATAGTCTGGTTTATCAGTACAAGGTTTAACTTTCTCAGATGCAGAAAAGGTTTAAACTCAGGTTCAAGTTGCAAACGATTTGCACCGATAGACAAACATGGGCAGGATTCATGCAGACTCAATCTTTAAATCCTTAATGTCCTTAGGGTACTGTGAGTAACTTAGAGGGCACCCAAGGTATGTAGAGGAAGTTAATATGTTCTTCCCCCTAGTGACATGGCCAAAACAAACCAACCTCCAGTGCCTTTTTCCCATATTTTGGACTCTTGCAAAAAATATAATTCCCAGTATGGTATAACAACATGGGTCTTATGATGACAACTTTTGTTTTGAAGTGTCTGAAGTATCTTTGTGTTTGGTTCTGTTTTGTTTTTCTAAGTTATTGTGCCATGTGCAAGACCTCTGTAGGCACGTGTTTTGATTTAACCCTATCTAGACCGGGGGGGGGCTAAAAGTGCCCGCGCCAACTTTGATGTCACATAGCGTCTGAATGGCTAGGGCTAGAATGACCAAACTTGGTGACTTTTCCTAAAATATTGTTGGCAACAATTTTCTATCATTGGAATAAGATAATAATTTTTTGTGTTGCCATGGCAACGGGTTTCTGACAGGCATTTTTTGCTAAATTTAGTAATTTTTGTTTCAAGAATAGAATTATATGGGTTTTATGTCAAGTTACTCATGGTTTCTAATATTAATAACATCCCATATGAATTTATGTAAATTTTATCGTTAAATATGCATAATTTATGCTAATTTGATGACGTCATTGGCCAAAATCCAAGATGGCGGACCATATCATTAGAACAGGTATATACAAGTTATTTTCCTTAAAATTTCATCAATACTTCCATTTCTTTTTTCCAAAAAAGGTTTAAATGAAGGTCTTTGGTATGTTTACAATGTATTTTAGGCTTTATCACGAAAAAAAACTATTTTTGAAAATTCAACATTGATGATCCAAGATGGCGGATATCTTAAATATGTATGACGTCATTTTATGACGTCACCGGTGTTGCTATGGGCAACATAAGACTTAGTACACTCTGATATTTTGTCATAAACACTTTTGGTAAAGTTATGTTGAATACCATTTAGTTTTCACTGAATAGCCTATCTAGACGGTTTTGGCCAATAAAATCCCATTAATGACGTCATAATGACGTCATATTACGTCATAATGACATCAAAATTGTAGATATGATAAATTTTAACTAGTACACCATCCTCTGAAAATTTGGTAGCCATACGACATACCGTTCGCGAGTTCTGAGGGGGGGGCCGAAAGAGCCCCCCCCCGGTCAAATCTTGCTCAAAAAAGCCCGGTCTAGATAGGGTTAATACACAATGACAACCAAATGGCTGAAAGATGTAAACCAAAGTAGTAGCTGGGTTAGGTATATAGTAGTGCATACTTTTGGTGCAAGATTTTCCCATTTGTACAGTGTTAACAAGTCAAGTTTACTAGAGCCCATTCTTCTAACCTATTTATACGTTTAACTCATGATAGATACATGGATGATCATAGTTGAAGGTGCAGCATGTAAAAATGTCTGTGTGCATAAGCAGCATCTATGTTTCCATATTGTAAGATAGTCACGTTCTTAAGTAACTGTACATCCAGTGTAAAGGAACTATAGTGTTAGGGGGGAATATTCTAATCTCAATAACATATTCCTATCTCTTTCATTTCTACACAGGCCGCGACCAAAAAGCAGAAGTATGAGAAAATTAGTGAGAAGAAAATGTCTACGCCAGTCGAGGTCCTATGTAAGGTAGGTCTTAGATTACGCTTCAAGTGATGTTTTGTAACGTCCTGTGAAACCTCAAGTGTTGGATCATGTCTGAATCACAACCTTGTCTGTCCATGGCTTTCCATGTGAAGAAAATGACCACACCACTTGAAGCTCTTTGTAAGGTGGGTAGAGTCCATTCTCACCACTTGGAGGGGGAGGTGGGAGCTCTGCTTGCTGTCAATAGTTACAAGAATACTAACATTGCTTCTGGGTCAGTTGTCTAACACGGCAACTGTCCAACAAAAGGTCAATATCCAGTTCTGTGTTCACCATCTGTGGTCAGCAGTGGACATGTAGGAAAACAAAGTTTGGCCATTTGCTTGTGTTTAACAAGTTTAAAATTGAATCATGATGGTAACCTAAAGTCATTATGGCATCAGGTGTTTCATATAATCTCAGCATTTCTTGACTTTAAACTGTTTAAAGTCTGGAACTCAGACATAACTGATGAGACACTCTAAATTATCCATGTGAAGTAAAAACTGGCATGGCAATTGTACATCACTTACATAAGGAATGTTTGATGATTGTTCTAACTCTACCTGTCCTGTAGGGCTTCCCAGCGGAGTTTGCGATGTACCTGAACTACTGCCGAGGGCTGCGGTTTGAGGAGGCGCCAGACTACATGTACCTGCGCCAGCTGTTCCGGATCCTGTTCCGCACCCTGAACCACCAGTACGACTACACGTTTGACTGGACCATGCTGAAGCAGAAGGCGGCTGCACAGGCTGGGAGTGCAGGGCAGGCCCCCATCGCACCCACACCCACCAAACACACTGAGAGCAAGACCAAAAGTAAAGGTAAATTATAATATAAGGCCGTGAAGTTTGGTGCTTATTGATGCCCATCAGGGGCTAAATGCATTAAGTAACTTGGGTATCCATGGCATGATAAAAAAAAATTATGCTACACTTAATCTATGTCTACAATTTAAACATTTTCTATTTATTCATAGTTAAGAGGATGTGAACATTAACTCTTTTGTTGATTGTGCATATATCTAGCACGTCGGCAGAACGTACTGTGCCTGCGAAGAACCCTGTATTTTCACGATTTTCGGTGGATTTTTGGATATCTTCTCCTACATAACATTTGGAAACTACAGACGGGATGTTAACCTTATATACGCTAGTATGACCTTATATGAGACATTCTCCCAAAGTGCTATGTACAATACATTACGGGTTTCACACAGGTGCAGTGCGTTCTGCCGACGTGCTCATATATCTGCTCTAGATGTGGTGTATCACTAATAAGTATATCTTATGTATATCTTTGTAACATGTATCTTTAAAGACACTTTCTCCCTTTCCCTACAGGACGCTGAGGTGAAATTCAGTGGAGGAGTGAGGAGGAAAGCACATGATTCCTGATGTGAAGATGGTTGTTTCGACTAGGGGGAGATGTAGACTTGGTTCCCCATGTGTGAAGGAGTAGTAGAGACATTATTGCAGTGTTCCATGAAAACAAACGTGAAGGAAACATGAGAGGACTCCGTGGCTACACAAGAATACTTAAACACTGTTGTTATAAACTCTTCAACTTGTATAAAGGGAAACCTACTTACTGACATGCGAAACTAAATGTGAGCCCAGGCGGTGATATGCCACATTGGCTTTGACGGACAGAGGTGCTTAATAAGTAGACAACTGTAAATATGTATAAGCCTTGTTATTTTTCTGATACTACTGTCAACAAAGTATGTATATGTTTTAAACCCCAAGGAGGAAGGTGTTGGGAATACTTTAATAAACAAATAAGTGAAAATGGTCCCACAAGTTCACAGCTGTCCGTCCCAGCCACAGCTGTCCCAGATCACCGCCTGGATGGGTTATCAACTTTGCATATATGATAATTAAGGACATTTTGTTGCCTCATGAATTGCTGTATGTGATTGTGTATGTTGTCTGTTGTTAGTCCCATGTTGTACAGTGTGGCTGTACAATAGCACCTAGTTGTGAATTTAAACCCAATCCTTGTAGATGTATTTTTGAGACAGCTCTTCAGTAATGACAAGCAGAGAAAGCCATTTCATTCACTGCTCTTATACATGCACTGAACAATAGCAAGTCCTCACGACTAGTTCTCTCCACGGGAAAGTTTCTATCTAGCACAAGGATGCTTTCAGTTGGAAATCATGCAGGCAAAGTTGTAAGGTAGAGAACCTTTCTTGGGAAAGGGAATAGACTGTCCTTTTGTACTACATGGTAATATGGTAAAGTAGTGGTAAAGTTCGTACACTTAGGAGTAACTTAAGAACAAGAACTGTGGTTCCCTTTTCTCCCATGCCTTCATTCTCCATGTAGATCTTCCCTTTTTTCATTTGTGAATCTTGCAGTGATACATAAATTAAAATGTATAAAATTTTCAATTTGTCTTGTTCTCTTGTTGTGTCCATAATGTTTTCAATTTGTTATCTAAGTCCATTTCTCACTAGCATTTGTGTGGAATAAAAAAATAGACCAAAGCTTTTTTTCTTGACAAGAAACCAGTCATGTTTTTATGTGCCTCCCTTGTGCATTTGTAGGACCAAAATCATCATAAAATGAGCTTGGGGCCCATGTTCATGTATACAAATACATTATTGCACTCCGCTAAAAAAAGGTTGAAAAGTACAGCTTTATTAATTTCAATTTAATAATATCAGAAAAAGGTACCAGTGATAAAAGCTTCAAACTAGGAAAACCTGAAAAAAAGGCTTTTAGTTTGCCATATACAATGCTAAGTAGGCTAAGTCAGCTGGGATGTTTTAATGTTTGTTCTTCCGACCGCCTCTTTTTTTCCTTGTTTTGTTATTCATGTTGCCGTCGCTATCTGCATAATGCCCCTTGACCGGAGCCCCGGCCTGTCTTTCCCACTCTTTTCGCAGCTTGTCGAGCATACTTTGTGTAATGACACCCTCCTGTACAAGTTTATCACTCAAGCGGTGTTTACTTCCCACTTCTTCAGTCTCTGAATCATACTCCTTGCCCTGTCTTGATTTTGGGATACTTGTTGCTCCGTGTTTGGCAGGTGAAACCTTGACTTCCTCCACCATTTCATCAAACTTGGGGAGCCCCGACATGTGTCCCTTTGGCCTCCTCCGGGGAATCTCGTCTTCGCTAACGGACGTGCCACTGGACGTTTGTGACTCACTCTGCCTGATGAGTCTGGTGATTTTGTACACGGATTCCTGTATGAGGAGGTCCAGTTCACGCTGAATCATCCGGATAAGTCCCCCGTCCGGAAACATGTCCATGAAACGGTAACTAGGAGAGAGAAGGTGTTAACTGTTAGAACAAGAACAAGGGAGAAGGAGCATGTACAAGAAGGTACAATTGTTACAGCACAGACATATAAAAATTTCCTTCAGATGCTTAAATAGTAAAGAGAAATTTGATACAATATTATATATTCCTTTTGATAAACCAAGTTTAACTGCTCTTACATTTATACAATTACCAAGAAGCAAGAGGAAGTCAAATGCACTACCTGGTAGTGTATATTAGGTATCTGTGTGATCGTAAACATGTGATCTGTACTAAGCCCGGTGGGAGAAAATGTACTGTCTTAAATCATTCGCTGTTACCTGAGCCAGAGGTAAACATCCAGGACATCATGTATGGACTCCAGGTACATGAGCTCTCGAATGGTCCTGGGCATGGCAACAGGCCAACCAATCAGACGGCACACCCAATCAAACGTGATGGGCTCCCCACGGCTGAACTGACGGGCAAACTGGAGACAAACAAACAGCATGATGAGTTCAATAAGTAATCACTAATGTTCACTGGGACATGTAGAATCTCTTTTTCTTGCCTCAGTTTTGGTTTTGTTAATACATGTAGTTAACTATAGCCATATACATGTAATAGGTAAGGTCACAGGTTTGATATCCTTGAATTCCTGGCTAAATGTTGTGTCCTTGGGAAAGTCATTTGATATTTTCTGTTTACTCCAGCCATATGTAAAATCTGTACCTACCTTTAGGGTAAAAGGTGATAAAGGAAAAGGGATGTGCTGACATTGCTATAAGCTGTACTGCACGTTAATATTCTATAATATTGTGTAACGTTGTGTACCTTGAGGAAGGATGTACAGAGGAAAGGCTGTTTCTTGTTGATGGGAGCGCAGCAGAAGACGTAGCGGGCCCGCAGGTTCAGAGGAATGTGCTGGATCATGTCTGCCAGGAACTTGAAGTCTTCAATGTTGCACACAAAGTAGCGAGAGTCCACCTGTGCCAGGTTGATGAAAATGTCCTAGGGATACAAAACAAAGATGAATCAGTTTGTCTTTGGATAGCTAAGTCTCTTCACAATGTACAACAATGTACAACATGTTGAAATATGTTCCACCTTGCAACTTACAACCTAGTTCAGGGTTCAGGTGTTCACCTTTGACTAGACACAAACACAGTGAACAATGTCTAATTCAGACAACACTCTTTCCATATTACAGTGAAATGAGACTAGAAAACAGGTACATCTGTTCTGATAAATAATGGGCAGGCTGTACTCACAATTAGGTTGGACATGCTGGCATCAGGCAGTTGGTAGGCAAACATCTCCACCTGCTCTGCAGTTGGATGGAGTCCGGCAGCCTATGAGAGAACAATAGCAATATGGGGATATTCGGATGATCAGGAACACATAAGGTGCAGCTTTTCATCTCGAAAATGAGACAAAATACAGATACTGTCAATTACAACGTCAACTACATGTATCTCCCTACTCACTCCCCATACATATGTACATTGTTCATAGTTCATACACTGGTAAAAAACCCAAATCACTAAGTACTACACCCAGTACAATCTTATGGTCAGTCAGTACTAATCCCTTGAAAATTCCACAGATCTAGAGTAGTTTGCCAGTATTGTTTACCTCAATAGGTTCTACTGGCTGTTTGATGATGTCATGAAGAGTCTGGAGGTCCTCCTTGTGCATGGTGGTGACCTCCCCGTCCTGGAAGTGTGTCCCAAACCTGCCGGCCCGCCCGGCAATCTGCAGCGCCTGAGACGTGCTGAGGTTGTCCATTTCTTTCTCCCCTTTCTCGTTAAGCGTGGGTTTGATCAGAGAGTTGAAGATGACTCGCTTGATACTCCTTTAAAAAGAGGTTTTATATCATCCCATGCCACTCAGCAGCAACATGCCACTACAAATAAAAAAAAAAAGGACTGTAAGAAAGTTCTCAAAGAAGGAAAGGTTGCAGGGAAAAGACAACTCATCCAGAACTCACAAGTTGATGCCCATGCCAATAGCGTCCGTGGCAACCAGGATTTTGCAGGGGTCCTCAGGGTCATTGAACTTTTTGGCCTGAGCTAGTTTTGTGCCTGGTGGGAGGCTGCCATAAATCACTGCACACTCCTGGTACCATAGCAAGATGGAGATGGTCAGACAATCAGGAAGACATGAGTTACAATTTTTTATCTTCAAAAGCATTGCAAAGACGACAAAATATATCATTGTTTATTAAGTTGTATCTTCCTGCTAACTCCCTATACATTCCCCATTTTGCATAGTTTCCTAAAATATGGCATAAAAATGATATGTTCTGGTTTTCTCTAAAAAGAATTCTGAATTTCTGAGCCAAAAGAACAAAATACAGATCATACTAATACCAGTAACCATTTCCTTGCTAACTCCCTATACATTGCCCACTCTCCACACGGAACCTTTAAATCTTTAAAATACAAAATAAAAGATATGACATAGTAAGGTTTCCATTCAAAAGAAGGCTCAAAGAAAGTTCTGTACCTTTTCCATGGCTTCTATCTGCCTACTGAGTTGGAAGATGTCAGCCTTGCTGAAGCAGACGATGGCATCACCAGGTCTCAGGTTGTTTAAGGAACCCAGCGGCTCCTTCAGGTAGGTCAACCCTGTCAACCTTTTGTACCTTCTCACCTGAGAGACAGGAAGGATGTTAACGAAGTTATCACAGACACATTACTACACAAAACACAGACATCCTGTGAGATAAGCAATTAGACCTATTTACTATGGCAGGGGAAGACAAACAGTTATACAAATATAGAAACTGGTGTGTTATACTGAAGAGTATTTATACCAGCCATAAAGATGCTCTTGTAGATATGTTTCCCGGGATGTAAGGTGTACAATGTATATTGAGCAAATGAATAAAATATGCTCTTTTAATTTATGTTATTCTGTGTGCACTCTGTCATTCAATGATTGTAACTTAGCATCACATGTACTTGTATAGCTATATCACCATATACATGTACCAACCAACACTGTCTGAAGCAACCACTATAGTATCAGCAACCAGCACTGTCTCAGTCCGTTATAGAAACCAGGTATGACAGTAGTACCATACCTCCACCTCCTCCCCAGTAGACAGCATCATCTCAGTGACCAGATCAATAGCAGCCGGCTCCCCACAAAGGTGGATCTCCTCCGCACACAGACCGAGCAGGGCGCGGGTCCACGCCCAGCCTCGCTGGGGGTCCTTTATCATCTGGATCTCGTCCACCACTGCCACCTCATCTGGAACAAGACATCAGAGATTTCAGACTTCTGGGAAGTATTGGATAGCCTGGGTGCCATCCGATTTGTAACAGAAATCTTTTCGGGGTTGCGGTTACAAATCGGATGGCACCTAGGCTAGTATTGGAAAGTCCCTACTGGCTCCTCGCCAACGTTGGTGGGAGCGACTGTGGAAGTGGACGTACACTAATCAGGATAGTACCCAGGCTAACTGGCTCCTGGCCAGCTTCAGAGACATTTGATCTTCTGTAATTCTGCCTATTAATGTTCCCTCACCCACGTGCTGTCAACTTAGTCTGTCTGAAGAGACACACAAACCCATAGCTCAGCCACCTAAAACAATACTTCTTTACAATAATAAACAGCTTGTTGGGAGTACTACTAACTGTATGTGTATTTACTTTTGTAGATGCCATTTTGAAGTTCAGGTAAGTAAAGAAACTCTTGTACATTTATCCCTATGCTTACACACTTGTTCTGTGTAACCTGTTGGAAATTCTTTGAAGACCAAAGACTAAAGTTTCTCCTTACATGGCTGATGGATGTTAGTCATCTCCACAGTACAGGACACGTGACTGGATGGCTGTCCGTCTTCCCGGGCATGCACTCTCTCTTCTCCTGTCACCAGGTCACAGGGGACCCCCTGAACAGAACAGAACAGAACAGAACAGGCAACAGATATTGCAACGTTAGAACTGAGCAACAGTTGATATTAAGATGAATAACAATTAGCAGTTTACTTACCATGCTTTAAATCATATGCTATGGTTCCCTTATTAGCATCTAAAAAGTTCAGAATATCTTTATTAAAGATGTAAGATTAAATATTATATAGCACATTATAGATCATGAAACACATGTAGAACCAAATTTTGACAGCCCCTACCCTCTCGTTTGTTTTTTGGTGAACCTCACTGGCCAGCAGTTTGAGTGGTCCACAGTAGATCCCAGACTTGGCCTGTGAGAACCGCTCCAAGGCGTGGTATGTCTTCCCACTGTTGGTGGGACCAGCATGGAACACGATGGTTCTGTGGATGGCACGGGCCTCTGGGTACCTGCATGAGACAGTGTGGTACTGTATGGTTTAGGCTTACATGTGTGAGACTCAAAACAAAGGAAAAGTAAGAAAGAGGTGCTATTTCAAGTCAATCAAAGTGGGAAGGGCCATGCATTGTTCCTGTGTATGGCACAGGCCTCAAGGTACATGTACCTGAATCTGACATCAAGCATTAACCAAAGGTACAAATCGTCCTTGCAATAGGGTACCTATAAGTATTTTGACCACAAAAATACACGGATGCATGACCAGTGAGGGATTGTTCTTTCAATCTGATTAGCACAGTGTTAAACTTTGATATAAACCAAGATTTCTAGCATAGAGTTAGATGCTTTCTGTTAAATGCCATTTACAACAGTTTGACTGAAAAACAGTAACATAGCATGTTACATGACTGACCAGCTGGCTGGGTCCCTGGAGTCACTGATCTTACGGAGATCCTCCATACAGTCCAGCATGGGGAAGATCTGCTTACAGTGCTGCATGAAGTAGGGGAAGATGTCGTCCACATGGCCTGGACAAAGAGAGAAAGTAGGGATGTTTACAAATAACTGTTATAGAAAATACAGTAGTGACAGCATTAAATACACGAGTTTGTACCAATGGGAAAATAGTTTGAATGATTTGATGATGATGAAGTATTTCATATACAATGTATACAGTTACCTGATCCTCGTAGAATATCAGACAGTGTGATGTGAACCTCAGGAGGAAGGACGTCCGACTCAACAATCCACTTTCTGAAGCTCAAGAATCCTTGGTGAAACAAGTGATCTGCAAGGCATAACACACAAGGAGTATGCAGGCACTGAGTTCCCTGAATAGTTCACTTATAGCATACAAGGAAATTGTTTCTCAAGCAAATGGATAGATTTTGAAAACCTATCCAGTTGCTTGAGTAACAATTTCCTTGTGTATCTCATTGCCTGGATGTTTAACATGTTACTGATAATGCTTGAAACTGTAGGTATCAAACACAGTGATCATGGTACACATGTGTATCAAACCTGTTGTTTTGTACTTACTGTACTCCAACTGTTGGTGAAAAATAAACTTTTTGAATCTAAGTAAGTTAGATACTGTACTCACTGTCCAGCCCATTTTCTGCTCCCAGAGTCTGGATTTCTTTCCTCTTGTAAAACCTGTTCAGTGCTTTTAACACTTCACCTGAAAGAGAAGATTCAGAAATACTCTGTAACTATAGCTTTGTGATAGTGCCGATACTAGTAGTACTGTTTATGGAAAATCATATTGTATGACCTCCATAATTTATTCCATGGGGTATCATCTAATATAGCAAAGGCTTTGACTCTTCTTCCACTCGTTTCTCTTGTGCTATTTGTAATTGTCAAGTGTTCCTGTAAAAACCGAAAGGGGCGAGCAGGTCACAACCGGGAATCGAACCCGAGTTGTCCGCTTGGCGGTCACCAACGCTAACCACTACACTAAAAGGTCGCACGACCATTTAGCATGGTCAGTTAGCACTGTTACACTACTCCCCCTTTTCTTTCAAGATTCGTCCTCGAATCTTCCGAGTCCGACATCCCTGGAGCTGCCACACTTATCCTCAGTGCCAGTACTCACAGGGCCCACATCGGGCGCCACTGTAAAAACCGAAAGGGGCGAGCATGTCACACCCGGGAATCGAACCCGAGTTGTCCGCTTGGCGGTCACCAACGCTAACCACTACACTAAAAGGTCGCACGACCATTTAGCATGGTCAGTTAGCACTGTTACTAGTGGTTAGGATTTGGCGCTCTCACCGCCAAGGCCCGGGTTCGATTCCCGGTGTGGGAACCAGTGTAGAATTTAGGGATCCTCAGTGTAGAGTTTCGGGTCTTGGGCTAACTTTTCTCACGCCAAGTTACGCGTCTATATGATCTGCTAGTTAACCAAGTAAAGCACACGGAGACTGGTCGATTCAGATTGTACGGGCTGTTGTATTATGATCTATCTGCTGTGTATACAAAGTCAATACAGAGTCAATGGTCTAGTTACAATGGTCTAGTCTTAGAGTTACAGGAGTGGAAATCTACAAAGGATATGAACTACAAGTGCGTGTGTCTAACCTGAGGTCCCGGTCTCGAACTGAATTCAAGGAGAAGCGGGCTAGCTAATATCTAATACTGACGCTGACTGCTCTCACCAGTCATTGGCTAATCTAATGAGTATGTAAATGAACTAAGAAGCTGGAGATCTAAATGTGGCTACTAAGCACTACGTCATAAGTCACTACGTCACGGGAACCATAAATCACTAGCTGACTGATCAGGGCTGTTACATTCCTACTTTTATTTGAAGCATCAAGGACATCAAGCATCAAGTTGTATTTATACTCAAGGAGGTTTAAAATACCACCCCCCCCCCACCACACACACTTACTTTTCTCCAGTGGCTCTCCCGTCAGCTCAAACCCCACATTGATGTCGTCCGCGTGATTGACGTTCTTGATCGGTACCGGGATGAACAGTGTTGTATCGTAGTCAGACGTGCTTGACTTTGCCCGTGAGAAGCCCTGTGTCCATGTCTGTGACCCGACAGCTGTCGGTCGAAACTGGGGTCTTCTCATGTACGCACCACCCACACGTATGGCGGCCCTACTCACCCGAACAAAACTCATGCTGTTCTAAAACTATGGAGACGGCACTGCAACAAGTCATGCATCCATGAGATGTGTGTAGAAGACCAGTTTCTCAAGTTATTATGGTGAAAAGTTGTCAACATATGATATTTTCTCCGACTGGACGTGGGTCCACCATGCTGGAATGATGCATGGTGGGAAACAGGCTACACCACTTTGATATGGGGGTGTCAGGTCAGTTGTCCCACACCAAGTATTAAAGCGACCTGTCCTCGGTGCTGAAGAAAGAAACTTTTACGAACAACATCTGTTGTGCAGCATCTGTTGTAACTTAAAAGTCTTAAGTTGTATCTTAAAAGTACTGCAATTTGCAGTTCTAGAAAGCATCAGTAGGCGGCACTAGAGGTCTTCTTCCGCTAGGCAGTCTCCAGCGGCCAGCGTAGATGTGACAATATACCTGGACGAAAAGTCGACGTCATCAGAATGGTATCTCCCAGTAGTGCCTCATGTTGTCATTGACTGATTGAGAATTTATGCAAATAGCTATCTTTGGTTCGAATCTTTGGTTAATGCTGAATGTCGTGTGCAGTGTAGGGTCGCCGAAAAATCTCTCGCGAGGTTGTACCAGCAGGCTACCACCGTTTACCAACACTTCTACGAGAAGGGAGTGCACTAATCGTTGACTCTTTGCAGGCGATTAGTATAGACCCTATTGAATTCTACAGAAAAGGGAATTAAAACGTCATTTACAGGTTGTCACTCATCCCCGTTCATATCAGGCTTCACCTGATTGCTAAATTCTTAGCTGGGGTTAGCCGGATATGTTTTAGCCAGGTACTTAACGGGGTGATATTAACGTTACATGGATTAAGAAACCATTCTTTTGTGTGCCACACAGTGTTTTTCCTTTCGTCTGCAGGCATTTTCTCTTTGCCGGACCATGACCACAAGAAGTACATGTTTTCCCTCAAAGCAATCAACTTTTTTTATAGTCATAGTCAGCAAAACAGGTGTCGTTTATGTTTCCCGTCAGCAGAGTCACGAGGTATTTCTTCCTTGACAACTTTCCTAGATACAATTATCATGTTGTTGACTGCTCCGCAGGTATTCCTTCCTTGGAAACCTTCCTGGATACAAGCAAGGCTCATGTCAGACCGCCAGGCTAATTTGCTGCCATTTGAAACATCTGCCAGGTCAACATGCTGCCAGGTCAACATCATGATGGTTCTTGACGTAGAGGATCAAGCCGATTTCAAACACGAACCTTGTGCACTACTTTATTTTTTCACTAATTTTTACACACCGTTTTTCACGATACTGCCGTACATCATACATGTGATGTTTTTATACGTTTGATATGTTTGGTCGGCTGGTGTTACTGTTAGGGGGTAGGTTCTGATTGCATGGCAGGGGCTTACCAGACCTGTCACGGATGGCTGGCTGACTTAAGTGAGCCTTGTTATTTGAATGTAGTCAGGAAGGTTACCAAGGAAGGAATATCTGTCCAGTAGTCTGTTTATAGTACCTCCATTGTGTGCGAGAACCCAGAATGCCTTACTGGATAGACAGGCCCTATTTGTAACTGTTTGTCCATGAGGAACTGGTACTTAGTGTTTTCTTGTGGAGGTTGAGCTTGTAATATATTGAATCATTCAAAAACGAATTTTGTTAACAGGTGGCTGTAATAGTACACCTTGTCAGTTGTCTTGAGACCAGCCCTATGCATATATGGCTGACTGAAGCAACGACTAAATAGGCACAGTCTATTATAAAGGCTTGATTTACTGTGTCAATAAAAATATTCTCCTGTCTACATTTATAGGTTGAGAATTCATATAAAACGCAGATGGCACATGTACGCACATGTACGATACATTGTTTTGCCTACGACAAAAACAACTTATGTTGATAGATAGGTATGCAGGCAGAAGTCATAGCAACCTTCCTGGTTGGAATTTATCCAAGTCAACAAAGGTATGGGTGAACGCCAGGATGACATCGGTAGCTTTTTGGCATTGCTTCAAAACCTTTGATGACAATTAGTTTACAGTATCTCCAGTGTGTGCGAAGATCTTGTTTCATACTGACGCAGTCTATAATAGTGTGACATTGAAGATTGATAATTGATTTGCTGCTGAAGAATAAAGGTTTGTCGTCAGACATGTCCAAAATAGGAGAACATCTGACGCTAGCATGTACGTTTCTTCGAAAAGGAGATGTCCTAAGAACCCCACAGAGATATCAGATGACTGCAGAATTGACACTTTATACAACGACTGTATACAACGACATCCAGCTTCTGTTCATCTTAATATGGCCTTTTGAGACTGGAGACTTTTGGAAATTGATGAATAAAGCGAACAAACAAACTCTTGTCAGTTCACGTAGTCCTTTATTCTGATATTCCTACACAAAGACAGAAATGTATTCATGCCTTATGTACTGCACATACTGTAGAATTATGCAAATCGCCTATAGCCTGATCTGTTAGATCTTTCACATGTATTATAGTAACTGGTTATAGTACATACAGTCAAGTAACTTGATATATATGCATAAGCAAAGTATTTGATATCGTAACTGAATCATAAGCCAGAGGCTCTGATACAGGGAGAAGTATACACTATTGCACAGCCATAGTATTGCAGCACTGACAGAACTACAAATAAAATCCCAAAGAAGTCATAACTGAGAGTAAAATATATAGCAGGTTCCACGACTGGGCATTTTAGGTAGCCTTTGCAATGCGCTTTTTTTCCTTTCTGGCATATTACTTCTATTTAAACCGGGGTTCTTTGCCGGCCCAGGCTTAGAAAAGGCGCATGGTTAAGGCCCCTTCCCCAAAGCCCAGTCGTCCAACCCGCTAAGCTTAGGAGGTTACATTAAATGAGCACTAAATTTAGAACTGTATCAATGTTGTTAAAGACAATACTAGGATTCGAAACAAAAATAATATTTCTGTTCACATATCTTAAATGTTGAACTCCTGCTACATAATATACCTGCTATATGATTTACCGACATCATGGATATGATACCAATATATGTAGACATGTAACGTTACAATACTCCTTCCCACACATATTATTGGAAAATACTCAAAAAAAGAAAGTTGAAGGACATAAATATCAAATGATGTACATTTGTAATTTTCATGACACGACATTGGAAACCTGCAATATTGCTAGCCTCCTTCGCAGTCTTGTTGGGCGTCGGTGTTATTTTTTCTCTGAGCGACGCAAGTAATATGCGGCCGCGAGGGACGATTTGCGGCCGCATATTACTTGCGTCGCTCAGAGAAAAAATAACGCCGACGCCCAACAAGACTGCGAAGGAGGCTACAATATTGCAATCTGGCACTGACACCAGTATTGATAAGACATACTCATAAACATACATGTATGTACAAGCTTACAATCCAGTGGGACAATGTGAAATGGAGTTCGCTAGGCTAGGTATTTACACACACATATATATACACGTATTATTAATCCCGCAATCCCACTTGCACTTACTGTAGCACAACTAACACATTTATTATTGAGGCCACATAACAGTTTTAAAGTTAATTGCTGTTAAATGCTTGACAGAAATGTGCATATGTAAAGAAACTCATAAAGTTCATCTCTGTTTCTCTTGTTTAGTATAGTCTACGTTAGGTTATATGAACACAGAATGTGAGACAAAAATGTGTCATTTTCTGCCAAAAATGCACAACCAACTAGCCATCTACTTACAAACACCCTATGTTGCATAATCAGAGGAATGGCTATATCAGTGCTATGTTTGTCTTCCATGCTGCCAATGTCTGAACGCAGATCTACTCTTGGGGCAATTCAAAGGAAGGGTTGGTGTACGTATACTGGGACGATGTGGGCACGTTACTGTTGCACTGATCACTTGAAGGACGCTGAGATTTGGTATTATTTCTCTCAGAGGTTTTCAAACTGTCTAGCCAAACTCTCATGTTGTCATCAATCAAATGATTGTCACCCACATTGCTGTGTGGGCCACTCCGTGATTCCTTGACAACTTGCTTGCTTCTACAGGCACCTGGTCCCAAGAAGGTCAGAAGCACGGGAAGAACAACTAACCCATGCAGCGCCCCTAAGAGAATAACTAAGAACATTGTTTTGAAAAACGTGCGGAAGATATACGATGGAGCAGTGGACAAGGCTGCTACACCTAAAATGGTGGACAGGGAACCCTGCAAGATGGGCATGCCTAAAGTATACAGGGCAAATACCGCTCTAGCGTTACTGCTGTCTTCTTTACAGGACACGAACGCATAAGTGATGTGTGCCGAAAAGTCGACAGAAAAGCCTATGCACATGATGATGTTGATCATGGAAATGGCGTCTAGATTGACGTCCCAAAAAGTCATGTACCCGACCACCCCCGCACAGATGGACGCGATGGACAGGGTCACCCAGACGGAACAGACGGGGTGGGGCACGAGGACAAGGGCCACCACGAACATGGTGGCTGTGGCGATACCCAAGTTCTGTAGGGTGTTGGGAAGAATAGCGATGTACTGATCATAGAAAATAAAGCTAGGGTGGTAAACCGTGGTTTGAAAAGGGCTCTGATCAGCAAGTTCTCTCATTTTGTTAACCATGTCCTTTTCACGGACAGAACTTGTAATTTCCTTAGTCTGAACCAGAAAACGTGAAGCGAGAATTTCGGTCTTGTTGTCGTTTAACTCAATGTCGAGCTCATACCGTTTGAAACGAGTGAGAAAATGATCTTTGAGGTTTGTAATGAATGGTACTTTGCTTGTGGCGTTCAGGCCTGGAATGATACTTGAGAACTGATCTATGAAATCAAGGTAATCACGCAGCCAAGATTCTGATTCGTTTTTGCCCGAAGTAAAGTCCGTCTCCTCAAACAGACTGAGAGTGATTTCAATTTGGTCTTGGACGGTTTTGTTCCAGTATTCTAGTTCATCAGTGAAGCTGATAGAAATTTTGGCACCATAAGACATATAATGCTGATCATCTTTGTTGTTGTAACTCACCACGTAGGAGTCATCGGCAGCAAGGTTACTGAGACGAATACCTTCTCTTACCTGCAGACATCCCCATATGGCGCAACCTAAGTACCCAGCAAACACTAACATGACTACAACCTTTACCCATGTCTTGGTAATGAAAGGCCCAAAATGATCTTTGAAAAAGGTCATGATAGCATGGTCGCTACCCGAGAACTCCCCCTTCTCGTTAACTCCCGCCATTGTGTTTCCTGTGCAGAAAATGCGATAGCAACCTGACCTATCTTTGGCTTCGTTAGGAGTAGCCGCCCGCATGCAGGTAGCTGCGTGACGGTTGCCTTTCTCACGGCGTCCTACATATACCATGCAGGCACCGAAGAAGGTTACTTGGAAGAAGTAATCAAAAAGTACGGCTACCCCAGTATAGATGCAGAAAATGCGGATGGCCGGGAACACTGTGATGGCGCCGATGCCGAAGGCCAGTCCGTCCGTAATGGTTGTTATGGTGATGGAGACAGCAGCCTCCGCGTACGTCTCCTCCATGCGTTTCTCCACGCTGCCTCCAGGATGGGTCTTCCTCCAGGCCGCGATCATGATGAACATGTCGTCCACTCCGATACCTGGATGGCACAATATACAATTGTAGAGACATGTTGGTGAAAATAGTTTCTGTCAGTCTGACAGTGTTATAATCAGATAACATTTATTGTACAGTCAAGTACAGGTGAACAGGTGAAAATGTAATATACATGTTTGTAGAACACTCAGCTCTAAAACTACTCTAATTCAGAGGTTCGGCTTCTTCTCATTTCTTTGTGGTGTTAGAAATTTAATTTGTTTAATACAAGATGGATATAATTTGTTAAGTACAGGATGGTGAAAGCGCATAAGAAAGATGAATTTTTCAATATCAGTCAGGGATTGGAGGTATTGAAACAGTCTTGTAATATCTAAAATGATCATTTCTATCATTACTATATGAACTACAATCTACAACAAAGTGGACTTCATCTTCATACTTTTTTTAAGCTACAAATTTGGCGATTTTTTGCTCCAGAGGTGTGCGGTTGTGCCTTCCTGTTTCGATGCTCAGTTTATGACAGCTGATTCGCAGTTTGGTGATGGTGGGTCTTTGACGTTCGTTTGGGATTTTTAAAAATCCCAAACGAACAGTCTGTACGAGCGCAGTTTGTTCTTTGCGTGTTTTGTTTTGTTGTCAGGATGCAATCGTAATGATACAGTTTGCCCTTTGCGTCAAATATATTGTTGGGTAAATGTTTGGCACGGTGGGCTTTGCTGGTTTGAAATCTCAACTCTAAGCGTACAGATACCGCTTGAATATCAGAGGTGAGTATCATACAGTAGAAAATTGCTCACCTACGATGAGAAATGGCATGGAGGCCACCACGCTGGTGAATCTGACCCCACAGTACAAACACAGCCCCATGGAGGACACCACCGCCATGCCTGCCGACACGACGCCGAGCATGCCCAGCCACGGCTTGGTGCGGACCATGTCCAGCATCATGCAGGAGAAAATGGAAAAGGTGATGAGGACTGTGAAGGTGATGGAGAACCGTGGGATGATGCGGGCCGTCAGTTTGGACAGTTCTTCTTCAAGGGACTGTGACGAGGTTCGAGAAACTTCTATTATGTCCGATTGAAAATTGTCCATGTAGGATAGAAAAGCCTTTTCCCATTCTTCGCTCAGTTTGTCATCTTCGGGCTTCTCACTGCGTAGGTAGAAGGTCAGCTTGAAGGCGGCAGCGGTGCTGACGTCCTCCGATCCCGACTCGAGAGTTACCCCTCCCAGGGTGGCTCCACTGAAGAGCCGAGTTCCGTCAGGTAGATTTGTCCAGGGGTAACCAATCGTCGTGTTTTCATCTTTCTCCAATGTAAAGTTGAGAAGGTGGTATCCACCGACTACACACTGAGATTGCCATTTGGTACACAAGTCCATAAATGAGTAGTTTGTCCCTGACATCGGCGCTTCTATTTCGGAAATATTGTTGTAGAGTGACAGGACCTCTCTCAGAACGGGCATCCTCAGAACGTCGTCGTTTTTCTCTGTAGTCGTCACGATGACGCTGGCCGATCTACCGAATGTTACGAGTCTGGAAGTCTGAAAATTTTCAGAGTCATTGACTGGGAAATGTTCTTCCACAACAGCGCGCTCTGTTTTCCCTCGGCCATTATCAGGTGTGTACAATCCTTCCACGGACGAATCTGACGCCATAAAATACATTCCTGCTCCCAGGCCAGCTGCCAACACAACGGGCAAAATAAGGAAGGGGAGTGGGTGTCTTGCCAGGAAGCCTCCGTATAGGGCAAACAGACGACTGATTCGCCTTTCTATACAGTCGTAAGCCATGCTTCACGACTAAGTTTTGCTGATATTAAAAACACAACACAGAACACACGAATAAGGCGGGCAAAAGGGAAGTGAAACCAGGTCTGTGTTTTGTGTTTTCGTGTGCTTGGGAAACGCCATTAGGGCGCATGCGTGACCTTTACCTCCTTAGTGCCAGCCGGGTTGAATAATCAATGCATGGTAGCGAGTGTTGAATATGCTGCAAAAATGTAGGCCAGCAAGACATGTCATAGTCAGTTCTAAACCAATAAATAATACAATATTTTCAATTATATACAACATGTATATATTTTCAATATGTCCGCTACGGTTCACTCCATTGACCTGCTTGGCTTACTGGGCACTGGTGGATATAGGTCAAACGCTATCAAGTGTTAGTGCCTGAACACGTCTCTTCCCCATCACAGAAATACATGTAGACAGTGTTGACAAAATCTGTTCATCGTCCTAATGGTCAGCTAAAGAAACGGCTTATGAAGCACAGCGTGATTTGTGTCAATAAGAATATTCTCCTGTCTACATTTATAGGTTGAGAATTCATATAAAACGCAGATGGCACATGTACGCACATGTACGATACATTGTTTTGCCTACGACAATAACAACTTATGTTGATAGATAGGTATGCAAGCAGAAGTCATAGCAACCTTCCTGGTTGGAACTTATCCAAGTCAACAAAGGTAAGGGTGAACGCCAGGATGACATCGGTAGCTTTTTGGCATTGCTTCAAAACCTTTGATGACAATTAGTTTACAGTATCTCTAGTGTGTGCGAAGATCTTGTTTCCTGCTGACGCAGCCTATAATGGTGTGACATTGAAGATTGATACACGGCCGAAGAATAAAACGCGAAATCCGGCCGTACAGATCTTGCGAATAAATGCTATAGTATCAGTCGAGATATTCATATTACTACGAACGTCTAATGCACTCAAATTAATCACACACGACATAGCCGATAGAAATCCACACCCTTGATTTAATTTTCGGCACAAGCTTGTGCCGTAGATTGAATCAAGAGTGTGTATTTGTCGCAAAAGACCACTGGTACCTAGCCGCGAGATCGGACCATGTTGACACAAGGTAAAAACCAAAACAACAACATATAGATATTAATATAAGCATCATAAGAAAACTGCGTCTTATTCGAGAAGTAGCATTTTGAAGGCACCAGCAGTTTCATCAAATAGCTCATTATCTGAAACATCGAATATTACGAGCAATTGAAAAGATCAACGGGGCAGCGTCCATTTGGTTGGAGTCTTCAACAAGAATGACTAGGGAAGATTGTGGCGGAACTGAACACTCAAGAACATTTAACCCTGGTAGGATTAACTGAATGTGAGGCAATGTTGCTCCAACGAACACTCGGATATTGTCTTCACAAGGAAGAAAATTCCAATGTTATTGGACCATTATGTACACAGTTTGCCGCGACACATGCCCAAATAAGGACAAAACCCGTTACTAGGCTGTGCGATTCTTGGTAAAGGAGATGTCCCCAAAACCCCCAGAGATCTCAGATAACTGCCGAATGGACACTTTGTTTTGCCATGGCGATAATAAGCTACTTTTTAATTAATCTTAAGATGGTCACATTTCGAAATATCTTTGTGAGACTGGAGACGTACGATAAAGCTCTCATGACAAAGCAAAGTCTTAAACAAAAAAGTACGAATAAAGATTATGATGTCCTTGAGCAGGGCCGAGGTGTGTACCGGGCAGGTAGGAGTGTACCGCCACCGCTAACTACGCCATCCTTAGAGGTTATGGAAACATTGTACATGTAGTAGAATTCGGCAAGAATAGGATCCGTATTTGCCCAGGTGAGTTATATATAGCCGCGGTGAGGACCATTTTTGTGGTGGTCAAACTCTCGTATGTCAAATCATCCATCCTATAGATAGTTGGCAAGTATTTGTCAGCCCATGAATATCCATCCCCCTTCCGTCTGTGGGCCAGGCGAGGGGACAGATAGGAAAATCCGCGGCGACGACCCACATGTTCACTCTCGTCCCTCTGCCATTACATTGTACGTCGTCCTTGTGTTGGTACTGGGACTGAGCACACGGGTGTCATTATACGGTTCTTATCATACCTTAGTAAGATACATTTATTTCTATATAGAAAAATCCGCGGCAGCGTAATGCAGGTGGTCGGGAATTATGTCTAAAATGATTACAAAATTTTAGCCTCCTTCGCAGACCTGTAGGGCGCGGCGTTATTTTTTTCGGTGAGCGGCGCGAGTTGTGCCGCGGAGGGACGATTTTGCCGCCGAGGGAGTTTTGCCGGGCGAGGAGAGACTGTTTGGGCAGAGAAATCGTCAAATACGTCAAAAAAAGTCAAATACGTCAGATTACTTTGATCGTCTAGTGCACTCAAATAAAGCACACACGGCGTGGTACTGGACTTAATTTACGGCACAGCATGCAAGCTACGACTGGTACCAAGCCTCGAGGTCTCCATGTTGATCTAAAAGCATGGTAAAAGCAAAAATAGCAGTGAAAAGTCCTTTTTTATGCAGCATTATTTTAAAGATTGACTAGGGAAGATTGTGACGGCACGAGAGAACATTTAACCTGGGTAGGTCTAATTGAATGTGAGGCAATGTTGTTCTTAAGACACTCGGCTATTGTCTTCACAAGGAAGAAAATTCCAGTGTAATTGTGTACACAGTTTGCCGCGACACATGCCCAAATAAGGACAAAACCCATAACTTCGCTGTGCGTTTCGTGGTAAAGGAGATATCCCCAAAACCCCCAGAGATCTCAGATAATTGACAAATGGACACTTTATTTTGCCACAAGGAAAACGTCCTTGGTATACAGTGACATGTAGCTACTGTTAAGCTTATTATGCTCACATTGCGATACGTCTTTGTGAGACTGAAGACTATAAAGCTTTGATGATGAAACGTTAACTGATGAAAGTTTAAAGATTCCTGGGCTGGGCCGGTGCGAGTTCGTTTTTATGGAATTTACGATTGCGTCTTATTTTCAACAAGATTGACAAGGGGAGATTGTGAGCTGCCTGTAAAGAGTGTATAACTTCAGGGATATGTGAAGTTAAACAATCCTTCTTGGTAGGTTTAACTGTAGGTTAGGCAATGGTCTTCCAACGAGCCCACTCTATTGTCTTCACAAAGCAAATGGGCCGTTATATATTTACTGCGTTTGTCGAAGTAGACGGACAAACAAATGGCAACTATGGAAACAAAACAATAATCAGTGGTTCACGCTTTATTTCTACCCACAAATATTATACATGTACAATATGGGCGTCTTTGAAAATGCATTTCTTCCGTATACATATGTACGCTATCAGAATTTTAAATTAGTATGTATTTTCCAGATTAGTACACCTAGTACTTAGCATTACGTGGTCATGAGAAAGCAGTAAAAATTATGAAACAAATTACAAATACAAATCTGATTGATATACATTTGGTCATTGAAATTGTGTTAGCTATAGGCGCGGTTACATTTACATCATATAAATCAAGATTAATCACATTTACTTAAATTGCCATACATTGTACCTTGTACAATTGTCGTGCAAGTTCTTCTATATGATTAAGTGAACATGCACATTAACATTAACGGCTTCTAAAATGAATGAGGTCAGGACACAGCGCTAGCAAATGCACATTGGCATCATAATGCACATTATAATTAGAAAAGTTGCATGACATATGGATTATTCAGGACTATGTCATGTGTTTTATCATCTTTACTCCCTTCGTCAGTGGGTTTATCTCTCAGATTCCACGTACAGTGCAGTTTATGGGATACTAAAGACAAACATGCCGGAAGAAAAAGGAAAGTATGCAGAAAACCGAACAGAATCGTGAAAAACAGAATCTTAAAATATGTTCGAAATAGCATCGTGTCAGAAGTAGAGAGAACGGAGACGGCACATAATGTCGCTACGAAGTGTTGCAGTGACACGGGTCCTGTTATGGACATAGATGTCTGTTTTGTACCACGGTTAGGAACACTAACGAACAGAAGCAAGGCTCGCAGAGAGTACTCAACCAAGAATGAAGCCGCCAGAGAGAATGACATGAAACTGTTGATGTCAAGCGTAACCCCCCAGAGCACAGAAAAACCAACAATTCCTACACACATCGAAGCACAGAACACTACTGACAAAAATGCCACAACAGGATTAAAAGTAATTAGGAAAACAAGTCCAAACAAACTCCCTCCCAGTGCAGCGGTGAATCTAATCGCTTCGAAAAATATCTGTGTTAGCATGTCATTAAAGAAAAATGACGGATGGAATACTATGGCGTTCACATCATATTTCTGCATGAATTGATGAAATTCATCAACAGCAGTAATGCTATCGCGGAATCTGTACGTATCTTTTGTCTGGATGACAAAACGGGAAGACAATATCGTGCCGTTGTCGACCACGACGTCCGAGATATAGGGACGATGCAACTTATCAACTAAAAACTCCGACGTTAAAACGGTCACAAACTCGTCTTGATTGTCGACCGAGACACCGCCTGAACGGACAAAGCTGAGAAACTCTGACAACCAAAACCGGCCCCCGTTGGTCTCGTTGATATTATATGCATAACCACTGTGCTCAATGTCTGTTTTCAGGTAGAGTATGCTATTCAATGATTCCTGTCGCCAGTAGTCATTTCCATTCACAACGACAACAGACACAGGTGGGCCGAATGTACTAAAGAATTGCTCTTCTGATGTGTAAAAGGAAGCGGACACTGAGCTGTCCGCGACAATGCTGAGTAAGCTAAAATCTCGCTGTAAATTAAAACAGCCCCAGACAGCTATACCAATATACATAAAAAACAAAGCGGCAACGAACATCTTGCATATGGGCATAGCTAGAAACCTGCCGGCGTACTTGTGGATAAATCCGGATATGCTTCTTTCGCCTGCTTGCCATGGCTCTGTATCATTTGAAGAACGTCCCCCAACACAGAAAATTTTATAAACCAAGGGTCGATCACTTGCTTCGGATCCCGGCAACACTGTCTTACACAATGCATAAGCATGCCTGTTTGCCCTTTCCCTCCGCCCGTCCAAAACAAACAATGCTACAAGAAAACTACACTGATAAACGAGAAGGAAGACAGCAACAAGAGCCGAGAAAAGGAAAAAGGTTCTTAACCCGGGAAAGTCTGTAATGCTACTGACTCCATACGTGACCGCTAGTACGGTGGCAGTACAGGTCATCGGCACTCCGGTCTCGCGGAGGGTGCGCCCCAGTCGCTCCGGCACAGCGGCGGTTTCGTCTGTCTTCCACCACGCCGTGACGAGGTGTAGTCTATTTGCCGCTTCAAGTCCTGGACAAAAATATATAATGATCTTATCATTTCCTTTGCCGAGGATATGCAACATGGTTCCGGTAACGTGGCTACTTTTTGTAGCCATGGTTCTGTGGTTGAAAAACAAAACTCGACAAGTTCGAGATGGTCTGTAATGATATTTGGAATGTGGTTAGGTTTTTTCCTATCAAGCAGATGATTGGATATTGGAAGTCTCCTAACGCGTATCTTTGGTTCCACAGCGGAGATTTTGGTTTTTGATTTAAGCATGCTATGGTGACAATTTTTCGTTGCCTCAGAAAGAGGAGCCATGCGTTTGGGCTCCCCCAGCAGC